CCTATATACGGATGCAATATTACTATATACCTAGTAGAGAACTCTACCGCTAGGGACTCTACTCGAGATAAGGTAGTACCTCCGTAATAATACCCTACTAAGTAATAGCGAGGCAAGACGTAACCGACTACGCTAAGTAAGGCAAAGTAGCGCGACAAAGGTAAGTAGAATAACGAAGGCGAATAGAATAGCTCCGATAGAGACGATAACGACGACGCCCTACTAAAGCCTCGTCGTAAGTACCTCCCTATAGCTTCCCTCGATATTAGCTAAGAGGTACGCAATATAGTTACTACGTTAGGCGCACGTTAGCGTACGGTAAGCTGCGCCTTTACGGTAGCTATAGCGGCAATTATTAACGCCGTACGTATAGACCCCGTAGTAGTCCGGGTTAGTTTAGTTTAGTTTGCTAAGCCGAAATTCTAGTTTGGTTTGGTTTAGTTTGCTAAGAAACCGGTGTACGGACCGGTTTGCCGGCTACGTACCGGCTATAGACAAAAACCCGACCTAAAACACGCCGGAATACGTCTAAACAGCCTAAAACACAGATGCAACCGTGTAGCGTATATAATATAGGGCCCCCGGACCCGATCCGAGGTCGTCGTATATCGTCGCATATCGTCGCAGTTTAGTCGGATTTCCTCGGAAACCGGCTTAGACTAGCGGGGTAAAAAACCAAACCGGAACCAAACCGGAGGGATACTGCTAAGAAACCAAACTATATACGTTCTATAGTTCGCAAACCGAACTACTACGGGGTCTACGTACGTAAGGACGACTTAGCCGTAGACCGCCTTATTTAGGTTAACGATACGGTACGCTAGACCTATACCGTCTTAAACCCGGTACGAGAACTTAGCTTTACGAGACGTACCTATAAGGAAGATACTATATAATAGCGATACGAGTACTTCCTCGTAGAGTATACTAATTCTCTAATAGGCTCTAACCTACGTAGCTCGCTTATAGCAATATTCTATCGAGTATAGACTATAAATAAGGGCGATATAGAAGAGGGCGCTCTACTACCTTTTATCGGATAGAACGCTACGCCGTAGCTATTACGTAAGGCAACCCCCGACGTAGGCACTAGAGACGCTAGTCTATTACGCCGAGAGGAAGTTCTAGAAGAGATAGCTACGGACTTCGAGATTCTAGAAGAGCCTACGCGCGTTACGACTATCGAGATCCTAACCGCTACGCCGACGAGCGCCTAAATCGCTATATCGATAAGCGTACGCACTCCGATAGACAAGAAGGTTCGTCGAGGCGCCGCTAATATAGACGAGGATACCTACTAGTAGCGCTCTAGAATGCTATACTCCGACGTCGAGCAATAGCTTAAGTCTAGCTACTAGGCCGATACTACGGTACTAACCTATAATATATTAGGCTTTGTTACGATCGATTATATACCGCCTACGGGTACGCGACTCTTAGACGTTAAACTTAGTAATATATTTTAAATAATCGACGACGCTACGATTACCTTAAAGGAGCTCGGTACCTAGTATACCTACTTAGTAGAGGCGTACGGCTTCCCGCGTACTAAACGTAAGCTAATCGGCCCTCTATACCTATACTATACGACAAGTACTAACGGTAAGTACAAGATCGCCTTAATCTATAGCTAGTACATCGTTATAGGCAGTATAGTCTTCTAGCGTAAGGTAGCGTACTAAGTCTAGCTTACCTCTATCGATAACGCCCTAGATTAGGCGATAATCTTATAGGTCCTAATAGACATCCCCGGCGAGACGGAGCCGCTAACAGCCGCGCGCGACTAGTAGAAGCGATAGAAGAAATACCGCAAGGACCTAGTATACCTACTCTATAGTAAGTAGCTAAAGACTATTACGGCCGGTTAGCTAACCTTTAAGGAAGACTAGGTAGAGTAGCCGACGGAGATTAACATCGTCGCGGTACCGGACTACGTCTTAGAAAACATAAAAGCAGCCCTTAATCGTAAGGTAGCCGCCGGCATTATAGACGCAGCCCTCGACTACTTCCTTCGTACTACGTACCTCTAACTATAAATAGGCCGTATACTACGAAAGGATCGAGACTAGACGCTAAGATCGGCCTATAAGAAGGATACGACGCTACGCCTAAACGATATCCTATACGACTACGACAAGGAAGACAACTACCTAATCTCCCTCTATCGAGAACTAGGACTAAAAGGTATCGCTAGACGTTACGAAGCGCTTATACCCTAATAGTAGGCTAACCTATACTTGTATATACTAGACGAGCTCGCTACTATAGTAAAAGCTAAGACATACGCTAGTACCGCGGCGATAGACGAGCCCGGCTAGCCGCTATAGAAGACGCGCGCCCTACTAGCTTAGGTACCGGTACCGTAGGCACTAGTACTACAACTACCGACGCTAGGTTAGTTACGCCGCAAATCTAAGTACGTAGCCGCACCCGTAGATAAGCTCGCCTTACTAGTAAAGCTACCTACTCTATAGGTACTAAGCGAGCCTAAGGCTCTCTCGCCGCTAAAGATTGCTACCTAGCGCCTAGCTACGCGCGCGTCTACGCGCGCTGTTACGGTAGGCCCTTCCGATAGTCTAGCTACACGCGCGTCTACGCGTACGTCTACGCGTACTTTAAACTCTCTAGCTACGCGTACGCTAACTAAGCGTAAGGCAGCTAACGGCGATTCGTTTATAAAGAAAAAGATACGGAAACTATAGAGCTTTACGGAGGGTAAGGCAACTAAAGCTAAGGCTACCGGCTCTAAGACGGAACCGGAATTAATTAACTCTAATAAGTAAGACTATAGCTAGTAGACGCGACATAATACGAATACATACTCGAGACGTATAAGAACGCATAATACGAATACAAGCGGTAAGGAAAACAAGTAAAAGCGGAAGGAGTATATAAGAAGGGGTTTAGCTAATATAGTACGCTAGCCTTCGTTCTATCGGACGGGGGTACTATTACGGCAGGGACGGTACGCTAGCTAAGCCCGGTATATACTTTCCGTAGAACCGTAGATACTTACCCTAATACTATACTATTGCCTAACTACTAATCGTCCCTCGTATAATAATTAGACTTACTAAGTTAGTAGTAATAGAGGTCGAGATTGGAATATAGATAGGCTACGAGGGCGCGGCCTTTAGAAGGGAAGTGTATATTAGGGCTAAAGAGGCCAAGCGTATATTAGGGCCAAAGAGGCTATACGTAACTAGTATGTAACTAGGCTAAGTAAAGCTAGGGTCTTAGTGCCTTAGGCAGGGCTTAGCGCTTAGCGTTAGGCTAACTAGCCTACCTTCCTCCTTCTCCTCCTAGATCTCTATCGAATACTACCTATACCTACTACTACCCTATCTACCTACTAATATAACCCTTCTTATAACTTTATATTCTTAAGCTTATAATTCTTAAAAATATTTGCTTTTGGATTTTAAGACTAATAGTAGGCGTATTTAGATAAGAATCTCAATATAGATTAAAACTAGGTAAAACCTTTAGTTCTAGCTTTTAGATTACTAAAAATAGTGTTATAAGGCTTAATAAATACTAAAATCTAAAAGTCTTTCTTTTAGACTTTTAGGCTAATCTTAGTAGATAACTATAATAGTTTTACTTAATTTCTAAAAATAGATAGAAAATAGAGTATCTTTGTTTTATATTATTAAAGTATAACTCTTCTATATAAAAAGATATACTAAAGAGAACCTAGTAAGAATTTAGGTTCTAATAATATTCTTTTCTAGATTATATTACTAATAGTAGCTATACTAGAATAAAAATCTAGAACTAGATTTTTTTTAAACAAAACTATAAGACCTAGATCTTGGATTACTAATAACAGTATACTAAGGCTTAAAAAACACTAAAATTCTAAAACGTCTAACTTAAAGTTTTAAGCTATATAGCTTATTAATTTAGGAGGGAACGACTAAAAATTTCAATATTTTCTAAAGATAGACCTAAATTAAAGTATCTTTGCTATATATTGTTTAGCTATAAGTCCTCTAGATAAAAAGATACATTAAAAACAATTTGTAGGGGCAAAGATTGTACTATGTCGCTGCGGTAAGAAGTGCTGCATTGAGCCTCTGGTACGTATAGGCCTCCCTACACTGGCTGAAGCTCTACTTTTGAGGCCTACCCCGGCAACGATTCGAGTTATGCCTTTATCCATGACGCCCTAGCCTGATCACAAGCTGTAGCGAAAACGTCATTGCTGATCGACAGTCAGTCTGGAAGTAGTACGTATCTCGCAACTCGGCGCATCTGATCGTTTCGCCCTTCCGTAGCATGAAGTGTTTTCAGTCAGATCCAGCAGCTTCCTCATAGCACTGCCAATGTTAAATTACCAACTAAGCTGAGACAATCTGCCGCCGACCACACCGAGTTCCACGCACGTGAAACCGGGTCTGCAGTGAGCCCATCGTCGACACCAGCTTCTTCTAGGAATGGTGACATACACCGACTTTTCCGCATAAGATGATATTTGTTGGAAGGGGGCCCGGCTTCTCGGCCCGCTCCTAGCTCTTCGTGACTAAGCCTTGAATGAAGACTCTCGCCCTTAGAAGTTGCTTTTGATATTCTCATGCTCTGAAGCGGGCAAGATCCTCACAACAAGACTCAGCACTACACCTCCCCCTCCTCTTGATACCTACCCTTCCCCTTCTTCTGCACGCTATACTCCCTCGCAGCACTTCTCAATTCCACATTGTCAGGCCACAAACCCTGCTCATCAGCCTCCGCGATATCCCTCCAAGCATCGTTGATAAGATCCCTCAACGGCTTCAAAGCCGGCCTTTGCTCTCTTGGCATCCTCGCAAAGACTTCCAACCTCTCCGTCCTCCCCTCCGAACTCTGCCCCACCACCTTCTGAATCCGTCTCTTCCAGCAACCTTTGTGATGCTTGAGGGCATCTTGCATGTCGTCGAACGACTTGCCGCATCCTCGACATCGAAATCTCACCACCGTTTCGAACTTGCCTTGTTCGCACAGCAGTCTCGCGGCGTCTTGCATTCGCATACTCTTTTCTGCGTCGCGGGTCGTTTGGTGGGCATATGGACAGAGTTCTGGAGCTGACCAGGGACAGAGGTATGAAGGCCAGAGAGGACATCTTGTGCTTTTCAACTGCTTTGGGTGATCTGGTGCTGTAACATCAAGTTGATGCCCGCCTGGGATGGAAGGTGGTGAAGAGGGCAGAGTGCGCCAGACGATGGTGGGATAAAAGTGGTGAGGGCGAGGACACTTGATGTCGGGTGGACAGGCTTCTCCCCGAGCCCAGGAGAGACAAGTCTGTTCGTTGGGCCGGATGGCGAGGATCTCTTGTTGAGCTGAATGAGACATGTGTGAAGGTCTGGATGTGTGGAGTGGCAATCGCAATATTGATGTAGGAGTGCATCTTGTGAAATGAGGCACACGATCCTGGATCTGCGGTATCTCGTGCAAGGTCGTCATCTTTCTGTACAATATGGACATATGTGAATGCGATGCTCTCTCAGCCGTACCAGATGCCGGTCGGCGAGCTAGTTCTGATGACTTGGTCACGGAGACCATCACGCACGATACGCTCTCGAAGCCGTTCGATTGTCTTCTGATCTTCTTCGAATTTTGACTTCTTGTCGTCTTCTGCGCTGCTCTTCTGCCAGAATTTCCAGCTCCTGGACTTCGCCACAGGCTGTTCGTGGTCCGCCAATCGTTGCAGCATGGCTTCCCAATTGCCGACGCCAGTCAGCAAACACTCTCTGCACTTCTTCTTCTCGGTCTCGCTCTCTTGGTCGGATGAAGATGCAAGACTGGGCTTCGCAAGCTGTGCATCTGCTATGGTCACCGCCTGTTTCGTCCATGCTAGGCCTTCTTCGGCAGCATGCTTTTCAAAGATGCTCTGACTGCTGGAGGCGAAGATGATCTCGCCAATGTACAGCATCAACTCTGAATCGGAGCAGCTCGGCTCGGAGGACGTGCGGATTAGAGGCATGTCGCCTGAAGGGGGTGGGTCTGGAAAGTGGGGAGGCACGAATAGGAAGTTCCAGAGACTGAATCCAGGCTTGGTCGGTTCGGGCTCGGGGAAAGGAGAGATGGGCGCTGTTCGGCGAGCGCGCAAGACGGAGATCAGGATCGGCAACGACTCTGAGATCTTTCCGGTCCTGGCCTGGTGTATGGCCAGGTCTGTGATTGCACGAAGCAAGTTTGGCGTGATGTTTGCCGCACCTTCTTTGAGAGTTGAGGTCTTCGGATCAAGAACGTCCACAGGTTGGACCCCATTTGGCAGTGCTGCAGTGGCCATGTCGACACGCCACTTGTACATCTCCAACGCAGCCTCATTCAGTCCCTTGATTTCGAGCCAGTTCGCATAGCCCAGAGCAGCATCAAGCTTCTGGCCGGTAGTAAAGCCACGGCCGGTCAGGACGCGCATGTAAAAAGTCTCAGGCGCAGGGAATGGAGGCACGCAATCTTCCTCCCGTGGCGCTGTTTTCATGTATGGTGGCGTAGGTCGAGGATCCGGATTGCTTGGTCCAATCATAACATCTCTCGGGAAGACCATTCCTCGTGTCTGATCAAGCACCATGCCATCAAGATGCTCTGCTGCCCTGGCACAGCCCATGATGGCCTCGAAGTAGCCTGCTCTCCACGGCCAGGTCTTGGCGCTGATATCGAAGCCACTCCTGCCAACCCCAGGGATCAATATCTCCTCGCCGTCAGCGACCTCTAGCAGCCCCTTTCCTTCCTTCTCCAAATCCTCCAGCCTCGCCAGTAGGTTCACATATCGGGTGCCAACCTTGGCCCAATCGACGATGCCACCCGTTTGGCCGCTTGTTTCTGGATCGCTGAATGCCCTGGCGGTGCGTAGCAGCTGCCGTGTCCCAAACCGCCACTCATCAGGCGTTGGGTTGGTGCGCTCATCGACCTCGATGTTGTAGCCAAACCACGCCACTCCCAGCAGGACCACCGCGGTCCAGCCTGTGGCCGTCCATCTTGCGGCCAGCCACAGTTGTTGACGTGCAAATCGTCGATTTTCTGTGGACAGTAGTCTTGCTATTGGTGCATTGGGACGTCTGTATGATGGCAGTGGCAATGGCTGCGTGAGATATGGCAGCTGTGGACGCGGCGCCCGGGCGGCGATGAGGAGGAGCTGAGTTTTCTGGGTGAATGGCCGGGGTTTGGGTGGTGATGGTGGTCGCAGCGGGCGTATGGCAGCTATTCGGGCTGACGGGAGGCGATATGGGAGGGAGAGCATTGTGCTGTATGTTTCAAGACGATCGTTCTTCGCAGTGGATGATGGAGAGATTGTGCCGCACGGAAATGTCTCGGCGGGGCTCGGAGCGGACTTCACCTACACCTCCACCACTTCCACCACCACCACCACCTCCTCGCCTCCTTCTCCTACATTTCCACCGCATCCACACGAGATGCGCGGCCAAATAGCTGTCGCCGATGTGCTCGGCCATACCGATAATGAAGCGGCAGAAGCTCCCAACCTCACCGCACTGAACGACCAATTAGACTCACTGTGGACACGATATCTGCACTTTTTACACCAGTACACCCATGCCCAGGCATCAATCAAGAAATACATGTCGTCCGGCTTCGTCTCTCTTGCCCACGCAAACTCCCAATCCGCTGGACGTGGTCGTCGATATGGCCGGGACTACTATGATGATCGAACCTCGGCGACCACGAAGGTAGAGGTTTTCGCCGAGGACGATGGCAGCCTGCCACAAGCAAGGATCGTGAAGGTAGCGCGGGAGGTCGTGGATGATGACTTTGAGATCGTGGAAAAGACTGAAGCTGCCAGTGTTGGAGGGCTTTCGGCCAAGGGTGAAGCGTTGGATGAAGTGAGGACTAGCTCTCTGCCTACACCAGAAGCCGCACCTGAACCCGACAGCAATTTCACAGAGCCAAATAAACCTGGAACTTCTTCTGCAAACTCAATGCTTACCAATAATGATCCAACTCGCTGGTTTGGCATTCTGGTTCCGCCTTCTCTCCGCCTAGCCCAGAAATCCTTCATGTCGGCTGTGCTGGGCGTGGATGCCTTCGCTCAAGCAAGTAATGCTGCGCGTGGCATGAGAGATGTCGAGGTTGATATTAGAAAGCTGAGGAAGACTATCAGGAAAGCCGAGAAGGCGCAAGGTCATCAAGTGGAAGGTGCGGTACGTTGATCATGTAGGCAGGGCCTGGCATGAAATGCAACCTCAAAATGCCGCCACACATCGCCCTTGGGAATCATGGGATGTCAGATCGCGACAAAGCCTTGTAGCGGATGGACTGGGAGAGTGGAAATCCTCGTCGACTGACTCGCTCTTGTGGTGATCTGCACGCACCTAACCGCCCGAGCTGACATCTGGCATTTCGCGCGGGTGACACCGAAGCAAGCAGCAAGCCTTGCCGAGTACTCTGAGTGTATCTCTTCCGGTGAGCTCAGGTGATTGAAGTTGGGAACCAAAGCGTTGCATGACGATTCTCTTCCACGCCTCTGGCAGGTCACTCTGTCAGCTCGATGATAGCAAACGTGATCCTCTGGGCTGCCACAACAGTCATGCTTTCCCGTGGTCTTGTGGTGAGCACTGCAACTTCTTGGTACAAAAGAATAGCTCTGCAGCCCACTGCGTCCATATTCTGATATCCAGCCACAAGGAACGACCCAATACGAACTGCAGTCAACGAAGCTCACACATACGCATTGAGGCGAAGCACAGTACACTGAATCACCTCAACGACTATCTACTGGTTACTGGACAGCGAGGACAGCTTTGCTCTTCACGTCTGGGACACTGCCTGTGCTTGCTCCTCGCATCCCAGACCATCATCAGTAGCAGCCTCTTCTCAGACCCACATCACCCACAACTTGCAGACACCAAGAATGACATCTTTCGGAACTCCGTGTACTAAAGACATCATGAGTGCCCCACTCCTCGAGGAAGGCCTTCCAGCGACAGACTGTCGCTTGGAGAACGGCGAAGGCTATGCAGGCACCAACACCCAGCGTGCCGAGCTCTCCAACAAGTTGTATCGCACTGCTCGTGCGATGGCCATGGTTACCGTCCTCTGCCTCGGAATTCTTCTACTCTACCATGATTGCAGCATCAACAATGATCTTGGTAGCCTCGACAGACTCCAGGCAGATTCGTCCTCGAACCAAGAGATCGATGTTGACACCATTGTGGAAATCAATATGGTGGCTCTTGCTGGCCAAGCCGCTGGTGCCACATTTGCTCCAGCTGACACATCACTTGGCGAGAGTTCTACTGCTGATCGGAAGGATCACTACACTGGATACATCTCAGAAGGTCTTTCGCCCAACTCAACCAGCGATATCAGAAAGTCTGGCGGCGACTCGGGATCCCAGCAGGAACGTACCCACGAACAAAGAAAGGCCCAAGTTGACCAAGGCAAATCTCCTGCCCATCTCGCGCCGGCGCCTCCGCAGGGCCAAGACAGCTCATCTTCTGCGGACGCATCATCGACAGACGATTCATCTTCCTCGGAGTCTTTGGGTGGCCGTTTGACGTACGAGCAGGCAGTTGCAAAGGGTGAAAAGTACATCCAGTTGATGAAGCAGCAGCCCCAAAGCAAAGACCAGGCGCGATCGTGGACAGAGAAGGAGGTACGAGATCAAGGCTGGGTGGGTCATTCAGAATCTGGGTTGTTTCACACCCCGAGCGGAATTGTTACTCTCCTGAAAAGCTTTGCGCCCCAATTTATTACACCCTCGAGTCAGATTCCCTCAGACTGGCGACACACGCACAAAATTGAGGGCTCTTTCTTCAAAAAGCCGATCCTGCCGACACAGGCATTCTATCAGCAGATCATCAATGCCCGAGCAGGAGTCATTTTCATTACGAATGCGCGTGGACCGAGGGCGGAAGGCGCAAAGCGGAACCCTCCCGGAAGTCGACTTCCAGAGTTACAACACGTGAGCGACTTCTCTTACATGGCCTGGTCAGAAGCGGCGAAAGCATTCAAGCGATCGCGAAAGACGCTGCAAAAGGTCGTTCGGTGCTCCATCGACAATAAAGATACGAAACACATCATTGCCAAGGTCACCAATGAGGCAAAGCCTGCGTCTCTGCCTTATGCCAAGCGTATGAGCTTCAAAGCTGGTTCGGAGCAGTACTGTGCTCTTCTTGGCACTGAAAATGGCGTTGGTGTGGCATACCTGCTGGCGGAGCATCAAACGAGCCTCGGATGGAAGGTCGTTGATAGCATCGAAGTCTTCTACGATGAAGGATATGCCTACATCGTGTTCAACATCCGAGATGCGATACCGAAATCGGACAAGTCTGGCGCTGCTGGTCCATCGCAGCAGAGAAAGACAACTCGTTCAAGCTCTGGTCTCACAACAACCGGCGAGAAGCGCTCTGCGGACACGCATCTTGACGTACCATCGGCCAACAACCAATTGCACAAGAGGTGGCCATTCATCTACGGTAATATGAATAATGTTGGAGCCAAGAATATCGGTCAAAGGAATGCATTGGACCTCATTGATGCCTCTTCGCCTAGGGCCAGCTGTTCACGATGGGTCGACGCCGATAATCTTCGCGCTGAACGATTTCAGCTTACGGAGTCTCAGCCCTACCGTACAGACAGGCTTACTGTTGCTTCCGAGGCTGTTGCGAAGATTATTCCAGCTTTAGTACACGTGCCTGCACCTCAGGTGTTCTATCGTGTATGGAGTCGAACGATTCAACCAAAGTTGTCACTGAGTGCGTTTCACCATACTAATTTGCTACTGAGTACCGGGAAAGTAGCGAGGGTGGCGGGGAATGCTCAACAGAACATTGTCGCCTGGCACGATATGGCATATCTCTCGCGACTGGAGGCCATAGGTAACGGACAGATGAGGCTATTGAAGCACATCATCAAGGCAGACGTCGACATCCCTACCGCATTTGACATTCTTGCGGAGTTAATGGGGAGTTTGACGCCAAACTTAGACGCACGAAGAACCTATGTGGAAGGCACCAGGGAATTCTTTGTCCTTCTGGGTATAGTTCCCGGGCAAGAAGTCACTGAATTTCTCCTAACCCACAGAGAAACCCTGGGTATGAAGAAGGTCAGCCAAATCAGTCTCTGGTATGAACAAACCGGTGGACACACCTTTCCGGTTCTCTGGTACGAGCTGCATGATGTAGTACAGCCAATAGTTAATCCACCTGGATGGAGAGATGCGTCTGGATCTCGGCCACAGTGAGCCTATACTTCAAACCACAATTTTCCTTCACGGCCGGGAGTTCTGGAGTCAGCGAGAAATGTGAATGTGAAAGAATTTGGGAGGGAAACAGACTGCTGAATATGACTGCATTCCATCGGCGTCTATAGATGGTTCAATCTCACGTGTCACATCTGCATTGACTGGAGTTTTGCTCGAGACAGCTGGTATTTGGTTAGAGATCATTACTACGACGGTATTTCTATATCTCAGCTGATGACCCGACTCTATCATATACCAATTATACCATGCATCATCACAATCACCACTACCATTCCCCGCTTTCAAATCTTCCCACTCCAAACCAGAAACCTATGTGCAAGGAACAAATTGAACACATCCAACACAATCAACGGCAAACAATCATACCACGGCAACCCCTTCAAAATCTGATACGTCGTCCCCGCAATCACCGCCCCCATCACCGTCATCATCCACCCCCACGCCAAAATCCTCATATTCCGATACTTGTGATTCTTATGCGCCTTCGTATCCCCACTCGGAACCCACGCCAACGCCCTCCCGAACACCCGATCTTTAATCGCCGTCAAATACGCATACGATTGTATGACCATGACGAACTGCACGTTGAACCCGTAGCGAGCCTTCGACCAGCAGCGGATCGCGATGATGGAGTACACGATCGACGGCACCGCGAAGGCGAGGTTGTAGTATCGCACGTATTGCGGTCGACACCACAACATCAAAATCCCTGGGAGCGGGTTCATGAAAATCGACAGGGAGATGGCGGAATAATACATCATGCCGGATAAATAGCAGATTTTCTGGATCGGGGTGAGTCCGCTGCGCCAGAAATCTAGGTTCGTGAGGAGGGTGGTTGAGCCCTGTGAGGTAGTCAGAACATCATTCACTTATGTTTTTTTTTTCGAGAGAACTCACCATACACCACCTCATCTGCTGACTGAAAAACGCCCGCGGCGTGTCCGGACAAATCCCACACGCCAGACACAGCGGCAAATACCTCACTTTCCACCCTCGATCCACGGCGTAGAAACCCGTGTGCACGTCTTCCGAGAAGCCGATTTCCGCCGTGCCGCCAACTTCTTCCAGGGCGGCGCGCCGGTAGACTGCGTTGCTGCCCACGCAGATCGAGGCGCCGAAACGGTTGCGGTTGACTTGCACGACGCGGTAGAAGAGTTCTTGCACGGCGCCGGCGCCTTGTTCGACCCAGGATTGGTTGGTGGAGGTGCGGAAGAATTGGGGCGTTTGGACGATTGCTGTGTTGGGTTTGGAGAGGTGGATGGGGAGGGTTTCGAGGAGGAAGTCCGGGCGGGGACAGAAGTCCTGGGCGGGGTTGGAGAGGTTAGTGTGGGTGTGGGTGTGGGATGGGATGGGACTTACTGCGTCGAAGATTGTGAAGAAGTCGCCTTCCGTTCGAGCGAATGCCCAGCGGAGGTTTCCGGCTTTTTTGAGACGGGGTCGGTCTTCGCGGACGATGTAGTTGTATCCGTAACTTTGGGCCATGGTTTTGACTTCATCGCTCGCTCCGTCGTCGAGGACGTAGACTTTGAGTTTGGGGGCTGGGTATTGGAGTTGCTTGACGTATTTGTAGGTGTTCTCGAGCACTTCGATGGGCTCTTTGCAGCAGGGAAGGTAGATGTCGACGGTCGGACAGGTGAGTGGATCGATGGGATGTTCTTCGAGGATCTTGTGGTGTTTGCTGATGTCGTAGTCCTTGCCGCAGATGGAGACGGTGTAGGAGATTAAGAGGTAGATTTGGAGGAGGAAGACTACGGCACCGAACCTGGAGTTAACTATGTGTCAGTATGGCAGAAAAAAGAGTTGGTGGGTATTTTTGCTTACCAGTAAAAAGCGGCAAATGATATGACGAACAGCCACATTCCCACGCTCAACGACAGGAAAGAGAAGACGCCGAATGTGTAAAGTCCCAGCCGATTCGTTTTGAGATAGAGTGTCTTCTCGAAGTCCGTAGGACCGGAAGGCAGGATCAGAGGCGGTGCCTCCACGGGACAGTATGTTGCAACGAAAGACTCTCTGGCCTGCGACCATAGACTACCTTTTGAATCCTGGCTGCTCGAATCTTGGGAGTGCGGCTTCTCTGGAGGAGGTCCACGTTTCTTCTGGAGCTTTTTCCGTTTCGCCTTGGTCTGAGGGCCCACAGGCAGGCCGTCGGCGCCGATCACCTCGATCTCGTCCTCTGGAAGGTGTCTCCGATCATGGCCGGGCCGATATGGTACTGGCGCTCCCGGAAGCTCAAGTCGGCGTTCTGTTGTTGCGGAGCTGAACCAGCTCGCCAGCTCTGCTCGATCGAATACCTCGTCGAAAGATGATCTTCTGCCTGTCTGTGGTCGCGGCTGGGGGTCAATAGTATCTTGCAGTACCGACAAGCTGGCTGACCGTGGTCTTGGTGGTCGCTCAATGTGTTGTTGAGCTTCTGTCCGATCCTGGGAGTACCCTGAGTCGCTTGATAGCCGTTGACCAGCAAGCTCGAAGATCTGAGCAGAAGTCGGCCTCGTGTCTTCTTCTGCTATGGCAGCTGGGACATGAAGCTCTGGTGCAGAGCTTTCCGCGGCACCCAGTGGACTCGGTGATCTCAAGCGACCAGACACAGAGATCGATTTACCGGAAGATGTGGCGGGGAAGTATGTGTTCAACGTCGACAGGTTGGAAGGAGTCCGAGGTACATTGTCTCCAGGTGTAGAAATGCCAGATCCTGTCAAGGTTGGAGGGACTTCGAGACTGGGTACATCGCTCCCATCATCACTGCCAGCTCCACTGCTGCTGGCATAGCTGTTTCGGTGGTGATGACTGGCCAGAAAACGTTTCGACTGCTGCTGAAGGTCTTGCAGCTGTGCAGCTAAATCATCGAGATTGACTTCTGCCTGAGACTTCTTTCGAGGTTTGCGAGATTGGTCGACATCACTGATCTCCACCTGCAACTCGTTGGCTGGCTCGATTGGAGAAGGCATCTTGCAACGCAAGAAGTTTGCTCACGGACGACAGTTCCTCCCCCTTCTGAAACAGCAAGGCCGAAGTTCTTCAAGGACAAAATCAGATATCGTCCAACGTGCGTACCTGCTTGCAACATGGCCGCCACAATCAACGGCGTTATCGCATGGCGACCGAAGAGGAAGACTCCTCCACAGACTCGTCAGCCATGGTCGGAGCCCAGGCCTGCAGATAGCGTCCATACACTATCGAAGAAGCGTCGCACCAAGCCAGGCTATCCACGCTGTGGCACTCAACGAGAAGCACGACTCCCCTTTCAGGACATCAGATTCACGCTACCAAGAGCATGCCAAGTGTATGAGCGCGACCTATGCTCATTTGGTTCTATCGGTCACGGCCGGTAGCCTCTTTAAAAGATAGATACTCTGGGGTCGCCGACGAGCGCTGCGACCGACATCCCTCCGCTATTGTGAGTGGGCAGCATATGTCGTCGTATCTCCTCGTACAACCACCTTCGAGGCCGCGTAGGGGTCTGTGGAGGAAGCGTTATGTGGGGCGTAAATCTGATTTAAGAAGAAGTGAAGGCGTACCACTCTCGCTGTATGCAACACCGCGGGATCTGGATCAGCAACATGTGTGGAGCATGTACTATCCTCAGGTTTCAAGATGCAGGCGAGCTGCACAACGAACATTGTTCCTGCAGCACGTGGCAGCACCGGGGTAGAATAGTCTACGCGGCCGACCAGGGTTCGCATTGTGTGACGGCCGGCACCCACCGGGTAATTGCAGCATGGCCCTGCAAGCGTGATGGTAGCTTGTCGAAGAACGAATCCAGTATTCGCCGATATATCTGCGCCCTTTGTGGCGTCCGTCACACAGCTCGCGCCCATTCGGCTGCGAATGTACTGTCAACTGGGCGGTAGCGAGCGTGAACGACATACGAGAAACGAAACGTACGAGTGCCGTCTCGTGGCGACTCGTCGGGAAGGAAATGTGTTGGCCACGCACTACCGACGAGTATGTGCAGATGGCGACAAGCTTCGATTATTGATCGATAGCAGGCAGATCTCTTCAGCTAGCTAGTGAGCGCGGAATCGTCACTTCCGCACCGCATCTTCCCGTAAATGCAGATACGGATATCTGTGCGTCGTGAGACCAGACCAGACCAGACATCACGACCAGATCTTGACGGAAATATGGGTTTTGCCAAAGATAGCTTGTCGAGACTGACACATAAGAAATGTCACGACCCTGGTGGATGGGAATCATTCTCGTCCTCCCCCATCAATCTGTGACCCAACAAGAATATGAGCAGTTCAGAGTCAACGAGTGCAGCCGGCTCGCCGCTCATGATCTCCAGAGCATCGAGTCAGACTTCTCTGGAAATTTTTGATGACGAGACGGATGCGCCAGTACGAAACATCGTTTTCGTCGGCGCAGGCTACGTGGGTGAGTGAAATGGATCTTTGTTGCTGCTGTCCTCCCCACTGACACTTGCGCTTCCAGGAGGTCCGACAGCCGCAGTGATCGCAAGCCAATGTCCAAACATACGGGTGACCGTGGTTGACAAGAGTCGAAACCGAATCCAGCAATGGCGATCGAAACACCTCCCAATCCACGAACCCGGCCTGAGCGACATCGTTCGACTTGCTCGAGATGGCTCCGCATCGAGAGCTCCGAATCTCTTCTTCTCCACCGACTGTGACGAACACATCGCCGCAGCAGACATCATCTACCTTGCAGTGAACACTCCCACAAAGACCAATGGCATCGGCGCCGGAGCCGCGACCGACATTTCGATGTTTGAGTCGGCCGCAAGGTCCGTCGCTCTGGCCGCACAACCTGGGGCGATCATCGTCGAGAAGAGCACAGTGCCTTGTCGTACAGCGGACATGGTCCGAGAGATTCTGAACTTCCACCGACCTGGCGTCCCGTTCGAAGTGCTCTCGAATCCGGAATTCCTTGCAGAAGGCACGGCGATCCAAGATCTGATCAATCCATCACGGGTCCTCATTGGTTCCTCCACGACCACGTCCGGGCGTGCGGCTGCGGCGAGACTAGCAGATGTCTATGCCGGCTGGGTTCCGCGAGAGAATATCCTCACGATAGATGTGTGGTCGTCTGAGCTTGCCAAGCTCGTAGCGAATGCCATGCTGGCGCAAAGAATCAGCAGCATCAACAGCATTAGTGCCATTTGCGAGAAGACGGGAGCAAACGTCAGCAATGTGGCCAAGGCGGTTGGCTTGGATGCGAGACTGGGGCCCAAGTTCCTGCAAGCCGGTCTCGGGTTTGGAGGCTCGTGTTTCAAGAAAGACATCCTCAGCTTGGCGTATCTCGCCGAGACGTTGGAGTTGCCGGAAGTGTCGCAATACTGGAGATCGGTCATCGAGATCAACGAATGGCAATGTTGCAGATTCGTCCGGTCGGTGGTGAGAAAGCTCAATGGCAGCTTGCGGGGGAAGAAGGTGGCTGTCCTGGGCTATGCGTTCAAGAAAGACACAGCAGATACCCGAGAGTCCCAAGCCACGGAGGTCGTCCGAATGCTCTGCGCCGAATGTCCGTCCGAGATCGCCATCTACGATCCGCAATGCGACAAGACTCATGTGGAAGCTGAGCTGGCTGGCCTCTTCTCTGCCAGCACATCATCACCAGCACTGAAGCCGAACGGTCCCGTTTCCGTCTGCGACAGTCCATACGAAGCCTGTGCCGCAGCGACGGCCGTTCTCATCTTGACGGAGTGGGATCAATTCAGGTATCCCTCGGTGTCCCCACTACAACCTGTCAGACCAAAATTGCACGACTTCGACTCTGGTTACAATTCCGATTCAACCATGACGGGCGAGGTCCCCACCCTCCAAACATTCCAAGCCAACAATCCTCTTGTCATGTCGTGTGACAACACCAATCCCGAACCTGCATGCCCAGGGGAATGCAAGGATTGCATGCTCGAAGTTCACGGCGGTGTGGGTGCAAGAGATCCTATCGACTGGCCCACTGTTGCACGACTCATGCATGGAGAGCGATATCTTTTCGATGGCCGGGGGGTTGTTGATCCGGAGAAGATGGAGGAAGAGGTGGGATTCCGGGTGGAAACAATTGGCAGAGCGCGTTCGAGGTAGTAGAATCGTTCTAGCGTGCCGGCGATGCTTCCTGCACCGGCACGTCGCTCCTTGCTTCCAAAGATAGAGACGGAAGGGGTTGCATCGTTGTATAGATGCTGTTCTGTGTACTGAATCCTTAATATCAACAGCGCGGGTTACGGTTGGGGTCGATCGGCTGGCACCATACGTTGTGTAACCTGTACCTGCACGAATCAGTCATGATGGAACAGGACAGGGGTTGATTTCCGCGCAGGATGGGATTCAAATAGATGAACTTGGTGACGGTACCAGGAATGACCTGACGTTGCGGCAAGATGTTGGCCTTCCATTCCCATTTTGATGACAGCATTGCCAATACTATTCTTATTCTACTCGCTTGGCACGGCAATCCACGCTTGGAAAGATTCGTTTAAATTGTATGTAACCGATCTGCAACCCGGCACCTCAGCTCCAGTCGCACAGCACAGCACAGCAAGCAAGCAAGCCTCCGCGAGAACTGTCTTTCAGCTCTTTGCTGTCTGCGTCCGCGATAATGAGACTTCCTGCGAGTTTCCCGACCATTGAACTGCGCCACGATGATTTTCTTGCTCGTAGCGTGCTTTCTTGCCGTCTCGCAAGCGACCGAAGCCCAGCATGAGCTTTGTGGGAGGTGCGTTGCACGCCCGGCCGGCCGTGGTGACTTTGTCACATCTGACTTGTGCGACAGGTATCAAAGCTATACCACATGGCCTTACATTGGTGAGTACCGCATGATATGGCTGGTCATGCGACTTCACGGGGGTTGACTGGTTGTCAGTCAACAACAATGCCTGGAATCAGGACAGCTCGGGCGGAATCTGTACATATGTCTGCGACACTTGTCCCAAAGCTGCCGTATCACTTTACTCGCTCTGGAATTGGACTTCGACGCCGCCGGCCGTTCACGCGTATCCAAATGTAGAGTTCCGATCCGATCGCCTTCCGCTACGACTGGGCGATCTGCGCTCTCTCAACGTGTCCGCGTCGTGGGCATTCGGCCCCGCAAGCTTCTCCCAGGCCGCCAGAGACCCGAACTCACCCGAAGATCTTGCGTACATCAACTCGAACAATGTTCAGGCCAATGTAGTGTTGGATGTCTTTGCGGATGAAGATCAAGAGAAGTCGCAAACGCCAAGCAAGCAGAAGTACGAGTTCATGGTATGGGTTGGGCAGTTTGGGAAAGCGTCGCAGCCCGTGGGAAACCGAGCGCCTCGCGATCCGCCGGTGGTCGCTAGAATGGATGATGTCGACTTGTAAGTCCTGTACTCGAGATCATGTTGCATCGGAGATGACTGACTCCATTACAGTACTCTCTGGAACGGCACCAACTCCAACGGACAGTATGTGTATTCTTGGATTGCGAACGAGACTTTGACGGACTTCGACATGGACTTTGCACCGTTGATTGGGTTTTTGGCGAAAGAGGAAGGGGTCAGCGAAGATGTATACTTGGGCACGATACAGTTTGGACACGAGACCTTCCTGGCTGCGAGTCAGATGAATTTCTCGATTTCGTCCTATGCTGCTGATATCTCAAGCAATCGCCAGACCGGCGACAGCACATCGAAGCCGACTGCGTCCCTTCCTGTTGCGACGAAAGTCAGCGCCGCGAGCCAACATTCGATATTTTGGGTCGATCCGGGATGGTCGCTTTGGCTGAGTGGGGGTTTCTTCTTGATTGGGTTCGGGGCTATGCTGTGAGATATGTACTGCTAGTTCTCCTGTCGATTTTAGTCACTCCATGACATGCGGGCCGTAATGTGGAGACTTTCTCGTCGCCCTGATCACTGCGACTTTGAAGCTCTCTCCTTCAGCTCTGGTGATGTCTCTCCTTTTTGCTCGAGATCGGCGGCCATGAGTGCTGCGCCGCATGTGTTCGTGAATGCAAACAAGATGCCTGCAATCGGGATGGTTTCGAGCAGAGTGGCGGGAATGCCGAAGCCCGTGAAGGCTCCTCGTCTCTGCTCAACAAAGCGTTCGCGCTGTGGTCCACTCATGCCTTTGAGCTGGAAGTAGCGGGCATGAGCTTGAGGTCCGTAGGCTTTGCCGCGGAGGATGATGAAGATGGCCGTTCCCACGACAGGGATGAAGTTGAGTGGCAAGTACATCAGGTATCGAATGACCGCGCTTGGCGTCAACTTCGAGAACGGCTTGCTGGCCAATTTGCCGAGCCGCTGAATGGCGTCGCCGTACTTGTTGCTCTTGACTTGACGATCTCTCTCCACCAGCGCGGTATGACCTCGTGCCACCAACGTGCCGTCGAATGTGTCAATGAGGGAGTCCTCGATGAGAAGTGCCTTGGCAAGAACCATGGTCAAGGTGGAGATCTCGCTTAAGACCAGGAAGACGGTAGAGACAACCGCGAGAGGCCCGGATGTGAACAGCAAAACTGCCAGCTGGGGCAGATAAGTGACTGCGAACATGAATATCGTCACCCCTAGGCCAAGGCCCATGGTCGGAACGAGCTTCGAGGCAAATGGCTTCCAGAGATCCTTGTGGCTGAAGAAGTAGACGATGCCCTGAGAATAAGATCAGCGCCTGATACGGAGCGCACTCTCACCTGTCGGACTGCATTGTTACCTTGATGGGATAGATGTATGCACCGCTCTTGACCCCATCGCTGGCGGCCTTCTGCACGGAGGACAATTCCTCCTGCACTGTGGCTTTGACCTTGTCCGCCATATCGGAAGCTTGGCGTGGAAGTCGTGGCACTGTATCTGAGGCCTGTGGCAGGTTCTCCGTGGCTTTTGGTGGTGGTGTTGTTGAACAGACCTCCGTGTCGATGTCCAAGTTTGTCCAACTCGGGAGCGTCATTCTTACATAAGCTGTCTTGGCAGGCAATAGACTTTTGGGGCGTTTCCTCAGCAACAAAGACGAGTTCATCCGCGACTTCATCTCAGCCATCCATTCCGCATCAAGCTTCGGGCGGAATGCCACACTGACAACACCTCATGCAGCTCACTTCGAGATACGAGGGGCTCTTCGATTCCATGGCACCACAGAGCTGCATTGTTGGCCGACTGCTTGGCGGTGGAGGCGGCTGAGCTGAGCTGACTCCCACTGCATTGCATCCCATGCATGTGCTGAGTCGACGGCAGCTTCGCCTTGTTTGTGTGCTCAGCTGTATACATAGCCCGGACCGCCTTTCACATGCCCGGACTTCACTTGATACCCATATCTGCACTCACATTGACACCTGATCACTCCCCGTGTGACATCCGCAAATCAGACCCTCTTCATCTCCACCGCAGTCCACTCGCGGCACACCCAGCTCAGCTTTAGCCATGGCGAGTGCTCCAAGTACAGGCAGCAACGTATCGGGTCTCAATGCAGACACATGGTACAGCATTCAAAGCTTTTCGAGCGACTACTATTTGGGACTTTCAAATGGTTCAAACATCTCTCCCCTGCTCATTGCCGACGACCAGACTGACTTGAAATTTAGCATCGCAGCCAGAAGTAAAACTGCTCAGCGGCGACGATGAGAACAGCACACTCTGGCAATTCATCCTAGCAGGACCGGAGACTAGCCGAGCTGTATATGCTCTGAGGTCGGCGTCATCAAGCGGTCTGTACTGCTTATTTACAAGTGGCGAGCGACCGGTTGCCGTGCCATGCGGGAGCAACTCTGGCCAGGTACAAGCCTTCTACGCTTCCACTGAAGGCGGGGCGGACGACGGCGTGGTCCTCGTTCCCTACCCGAATTCAGCATCACGAGCCTTCTCCGCAGATGGCGATAGCTCGGAAGGCGACGAGGTGGAGTTTGACGAACTCAAGAACTTTCAAGATGCAAGTGTCGATTTGCTTTGGGCCATTCAGAGTCAAGGCGTTGTTGATACAATCGCGTATCCACCCATCTCGGCAACTTATACTGGAGACTCCAGTCCGTCCACCTCAGCTCTCACGACTAGCACAAGTATCGCAGCTAATACGACCTCTCCAGCGGCTTCTACGACCGCAGTCTCCACATCCACGTCGACTACATCCTCGCCAGTCGTTGTTACCGCCGCTGACGGATCGACGATTCCTGTTCCAACTGGAACGCCAAGTAAGTCACTCATTGCTTCTCATCTCCCCAACGAGCTGAAGCAGAACCCGCTAACCCGACGTGATTCGCAGGCCCAAGACCTTCAGAGCCCACCGAATCATCCGAAACTCCCACATCTCCATCCCTAACGACGCTTACCGTGACGACCGATCTTCCTGCTGCCACGACGGAAGCGACCACCCCTGCCGAATCTTCTGAATCCGCTTCGGCTTCACAATCTGTAGAGGTAAGCGATGCCTCTCACACCACTTCAAGCTGGCAGCAGTGCCATGACGAGAAGTATCGGAGTCGCGGCTGTTTGGAAATCATGTCTTTCACGAGAATTCGCTAATTCCTTTTCAGGTCCAACAAGGAAACGACGCCCCGAACTCCGTACCCGCGAGACATGTTTGGCTTGGTGTAGCAGTTCTCGCACTGCTCGGCGCGAGTCTTTAGGTATAAGCAGCGACTCTTTAAATTTCTTGGATTTAATTAGGAATTTTTTTTTTCAATTCGACGAGATATAATTTCAAGAAAAAGCGGTTCTACTACGCCTACTTGTCTAATCCTTTACCCCGGTTAAATATACGAGTTTATTATAGTAGCTGTTTTAGGGTATCGTAGTACTAGTTAGTATATTATATCTAACTAGGCCTTTATAACTACTAGTTAGATTAATCCCGTAGGATAATAGCTATTTAGTAAAGTAGGCGATTTATAAATCTCTTTAGCTTAATATCGTATAACCGGATTCTAAATACCTTTTAAAAATTTAAAATCTTTTTACTACCGAGCCCCTATCTAGTAAGATCGTCGAGCTCGATAATATAATACGTATATATAGCTTAGGACACAAGCAGGCACTAAAGTAGCCGTACCTAAGTATTATATAGAGCTATCTTAAGTATAGGAGGTATTAAGCTATAGTATAGATACTTGCTATCTCTACTTCTAGTATATAAACTTAAAGCAAATAGTTAAAACGACTAGATATAACGTAAGAAGACTCGCCTTACGCCTAGGAGGGATATTTCTACGCGTCTATAGTAGCGTAAGACTATTATATATAGTATAATATTTATCCGAAAATAAGTAGTAGGACTAGGGAAATTATATATCGAAACTTTAAAATTCGCGGATACTCCCGCTAATTCGCGGGCCTCGCCGCTACCGCCTTCCTTCGAGAACCTATAGAAGAAGCCGCCTAGACGTTATATATAGGTATAAGCGCTATCGCCGGGTATATATAAAAATACTAAAGCCTATAGAGCCGCCTAGATAGCCGGTATATTCTAATTTATAGGAGGGAGACGCGCGCGTTCTTAAACCTAGATAATAGTGCCTATAGCTATTTGTACTATACGAATAGTACTATTATATATTGTAAAATTCTAGATATTTTGCTATATATAGTACTACTATAGGTAGTACTACCCGAAATACTTAGAGTAGGTATAGTAGGCTAGAACGCCTATAGTAGGTATATTCGGAATAGACTTATAGTAAGTACTATCCGGAACGCTTAGAGTACTAGGTACTATTTAGATTTTAGAACGCTTATAGTAGGGAGTCGTAATCTAGAGTACTTATAGTAAGTAGTTAGTAATATCTAAAACGCTTATTGTATCCGGATCGCTTATAGTAAGTACTATCCGGACTAGGTACTATTTAGGTTTTAGAACGCTTATAGCGAGTAGTAGTAATAACTTTAATATAGAACGCTTATAGTAAGTAGTAAGTAGTACTATCTAAAACGCCTAAGTACTATTTAGAGGCTAGGAGCTTATAGTAAGTATTATCTAGAACGCCTATTACGAGTAGTATTATTTAGGATATTTATAGTAACTAGTATTAGAAAATGCCTATAGTAAGTCCTATCTATAAGTCTTATAGCTTTTATAGTAAGTACTATTCGGAACGCTTATAGCGAGCCTATAGTAGTAAATATTATTAGGAACGATTATACTAAGTACTATCCGGAATTCCTATAGCGAGTAGTATTTAAAATGCCTATAGCAAGAAGTATCTATGCCTTATAGCGCCTGAAGCAAGTAGTGTTTATAACGCCTATAGTAAGTACTATTTAGAGCGTAGCACGCTTATAGTAAGTACTATCTAGAATATCTATAGCTGTTAGCGAGTAATACTATTTAAAACGCTTATAGTAAGTACTATCCGAAATGTATAATAATTCTAATTAAGAATACGTATAGTACTACTAATCCGGAATATATATAGTAATTCTAATACGGAATAGATAGAGTAATCCTAACCCGGTTAGCGTATAGTACTTCTACTTTAGAATATATATAGTAATTGTAGTTTAGAAGGCGTATAGTAGTCCTAATCTAGAACGTATATAGTAGGACCTAGGTCCTATAACTTTTATCTAAAACGTATATAGTAGGTACTATTAGGAATACGTAAAGGAAGTTCTATTTATAATATCTATAGTAAGTATAATTTCGAACCCTTATAGTAATTACTATCTAAACCGCCTAGGGCGAGTAGTAATACTCTAGGCGGCTATAGTAATATAGCCTAAAAGGCCTATAGTAAGTACTTCTAGGATACGCCTATAGTAAGTACTATCTAGAAGGCCCTTAGCGGGATAGTCCTAAACGCCTCTAATAAGTATTATTTCAGAAATCTGTTAAAAGAATATAGAGAATATAGTAAGTCTTATCTAGAAAGCTTATAGTAAGTACTACGTATAACGTCTATAGTAAGTCTAGGCTAGCTGCTAGAAAACGTATAGTAGTTCTAGTCTAAAACGCCTATAGCAAGTACTATCCGAAAAGCGTAGAGTAAGTCCTATCTAAAACGCGTATAGTAAGTACTATTTAAAACTATTATAGCGAGTCTTATATAGAACACTTATAGTAAGCACTATCTATATAGCCTATAGTAAGTCTAGTTTAAAATGTTTAAAGTAACTCTTATCTATAGCGCCTATAATAGGTCTAATTTAGAACGCTTATAGTAAGTCTAATATAGAACGCTTATAGTAAGTCTAATATAGAACGCTTATAGTAAGTCTAATATAGAACGCGTAGAGTAAGTCTAATCTAAAACGCTTATAGTAAGTACTATTTGGAACGCGTATAGAAAGTCTAAATAGAACGCGTATAGCAAGTCTTATCTAGGACGCCTATAGTAGGCCTAATCTAAAACGCGTATAGTAAGTTATGTATAAAACGCTAATAGTAATATTAATCCGGAACGCGTTATAGGTATTAGAAAGCACTATTTAAAAACGCTTATAGCGAGCACTATTAGAAACGCTTATAGCGAGATAGTTCGAAATATCTATAGCAACTGCTTCCGGAATACCTATAGTAAGTACTATTTGAAATATCTATAGTAACTTTTAAGTAGTTCTTTCTAAGTCGGTACGCTTATAGCAAGTACTACCTATAAGGCGTATAGTAGGTCTAATCCGAAACGCTTATAGTAATTTTAATCTTAAACACCTATAGGGATTCTAATTTGGAACGCTTATAATACTAAGTACTATTTAGAACGCGTATAGCAAGTCTAATCCGGAGCGCTAATAGCTAGTACTACCGTCTATAACGCCTATACTAGGTTTTATTTAGAACGCGCTATATAGTAATTTTAATCTAAAATGCTTATAATAAGTCTTATCCGGAACGCCTATAGCAAGTAGTATCCGGAATGTATATAGTAAGTCTAATTTAGAACGCTAATAGTAAGTACTATTTAGAATGCCTATAGTAAGTAGTAGTATTTAAAATATCTATAGTAGGTACTATTTAGAATACTTATAGCAAGTCCTATCCGAAACTCTTATAGTAAAGACTACTAAAAACACTTATAGCGAGTAGTAGTATTCGAAACGCTTATAGCGGTAACTATCCGAGATGTCTATAGCGAGTACTATCTAGAACGCTTATAGTAAATACTATCCGGAACGCCTATAGTAAATAGTATTCGAACTACTTATAGCGAGTACCCTATATAACGCCTACTACGAGTACCCTATTAAACGCCTATAGCAAGTAGTACTATCTAGAACGCGTAGAATAGGCCTTACGCCTATAGCAGGCCTAATCTATAACGTAAATAGTAAGTTATATCTTAAACGCTTATAGAAAGTCTTATCTAGAATATATAAAGTAAGTCTAAGTCTAATCTAAAACTAAATACTTATATTAAGTACTATTCGGAACGCTTATAGCGAATAGTACTATCTAGTACGTCTAGGACGTATATAGTTCCCCTATACGCCCCTAGCCTACGTCCGCGAGTCCGCGACGCGGGCCCTAAAACTAGTAATTATAGATACTTTAACCTCGCTTACCTCTCCGTAAGACTAGCTTATTTATAAATCCTTATAATATATTAAGTACTTCCTAGACTAGAAATGTTTCGGATAAGCGAAAGCAAACCTAGGAGTATAGGCTAAGCCGCTAGTAATTAGTCTCGCTTATATACTTTCGTCTTCGGCTACGACTAACTCTTCGTCTAGAAGGTCTACTCTAGCGCTAGCCGTCGGCGTTAGGTTTCTCTCTCCTAGCGATTAATAAGGGATACGCCTAATAGGTATAGGAGAGTACTTATAGATTAAAAGCTATTCGTCTTATTTATACTAGGAAATAAGTCGTAAAGACACTTTAAAGCTAGAGCTATATCGATATAGTTAAGGGTTAGGAAAGACTCTTATATCTACGTAGTATTAGAGAAAGTATACTTCTTTTTAAGTTATTAATATTAGAACTATTATAAATCGTAGACTCCCTATTCCCTATAAACGCGATCGCTTATATATCTATTATAGAGCGAACGAGCGGTTAGTATACTTTACCGTAGGCTTATAGCTAGAAACTTTCCTAGCGTCTATTTGCTCCCTTTCGAACGATTTAGCTTTACGGTTAGTATAGTAAAGATATAGCTATTAATTGTTAATTGCTATAATTATATAATTATAGTAATTATAGTAATTATAGTAATTATAAAATATAATTATTAGTTTAGCAATCTCGTAATTACAATTATAATTACTATATAATATAAATATAGGCAGGCGGTATATACCGTATATATATCTCTTTTATACCGCTCCTACCTATTATATAGGAAGTATCCTACTATATAATTCCTCGGGGCTTTAGAATATAGTAGGAATAGTATATCTAGATATATTCCGATATTTTCCTTTAGTAGGTCTAGGAATCTATTACTTACTTAGCTAGTAGACTATTTGTTCTCTATAAAATATAATTATATTATTATTATAATTGTAATTTGTAATTAATTATATTTCTATAATTGTAATTGTAATTTATTAACAATTAATAGCTATAAGTAAAGATTGTAGCTCGTAGTTAGAAGCGAGGTAGGTAAGCAGCCTCGGCTACCTTAGGATTTAATGCAGTCTAGCATGTTCCTCTTCTATACTGAAATATATAAAGTCCAAAAAATTGAGACGAGGATAAATGGAATACGATGCAAAGGCACCACATAGGCTTCGATGAGCCATTCTATCAGCTTGGACACTACGTCTATCGGGCTAATCCCGTTGCAACCTTGTTCGAGTAAATCTAGAGTATAGTCAAGCTTCGTTCTCTTGCTTTAAGATATTCTTCGTTCTCGCCCAATTGCGAGTAGAATCTGCATTACGAAGCTCTACTCAAATGCTCGACTCCGGGGAGTACAAGTCCACCTCAGGCTCTACATCTCGCACTTTTATCTGAGCTCGGCAGTCGGGCGGTACCATTCTCTGGACCTCAAAGAGGATATCTGCTGGCCGGTGTTCCTCGCCAGGCACGAGTCTGACGTCGTACTTGAGTAGAAAATTACACAGCATCACCTTCAGCTCCATATTCGCAAAGAAACGTCCTGGACAAGCGTGTGTGCCGTAGCCGAAAGGCATATGGTCAGTCTGTAGGGATACGAATTGATGACTGTTTCTTGAGTTAGCTTCGTATCGGACCGTGTGGAGTCGACCCATACCGCTCTTCCTGTCCAGGTTGCTCGCGTTTCTTCAAGGACCTGGTTGCATCGAACTTCTCCGGGTCTGGGTAATATTCCGGATTGACAACGTTGCTGTCATCAAAGTAGATACAGCTCCCTTTGGGGAACACGGTACCATCGGACAATGTGACCTCTTCTGTGCATCCCCTCCACGAGGTGACTGTTCTCATGGTCAGCCACTGGGCTTGTGGTAACGAATGGATGCAAATGTGAGGCAACATACCGCGAAGGAAGTCGTGGTGGCGCATGACTTCCTTCATAAAACTATCAAGAAGTCTCATTTTGTATAGCGTGTGCTTCGTCCAGCCGCCTTCTCGGAGGAGAGGGATGATTTCTGCCCGCAAGTCGGCCACAACCGAAGGGGTCTCGCATAGCTGTAATATGCAATTCGTCATAACTTCCGAGGTGGTCTGTATGGCAGTCATGCTAAGGGATACCAAGTGAACGGCCACATCACTCTTCCGTCCCTGAGCTTGCGCGACCTCGACCATCCATGAGATCGCGTCAGCCGACTCCTTGGGGATCTTACCGTGCTGCAGTGCCTCCTCCACAGCAGCTCGCCTTCTCGCGATCTCGGGAGTGATAAGGGCCCGAGCAGCACGGAGCTCGCGGCGTAGACGCCTCGTTTCAGGCAAGAACCAGTGGACTAATGGACGCAAAGCTGGAGGAGTCTGCCGCATCCTTTTCTGAGCCAGGAACACTGCAGCTGTGTGATTGACTACGAGGTCCAGCCATTCCTGATTGCGACATAGTGGAAATCCAACGAACACGCGTGTCGTTACTCGTGCGACGATGCGACTAACGAGGTCCTTGATGCGGCACGTACGCCACTCCTTGCTTTCTCCTAGGACTTCAGACATTGTTGCAGCAGATTCGTCGATGACACTCGAATACAGGAGATTCAAGGATTGTGTAAGCTTGACTCGGACGACTTCTTGCATGAAATAGTCGTCGTGGCAGGCCGCCTCCATCGCTTCGAAGCCCGGGTAATCGATGAAAGCATCTTTGTCGTTGCCCTTTGCAAAACTTAAGAACCGATTATTCCGCAGCTCGTCTATGAATCGAATGGGAACTAGGATCTTCCAGCCGGTAGCAGTACGTAGTTGAAAGCAGCCCGGGAATTTTTCCTGGCCTTCCTTGACCAGATCGTAGCCTCGACGGAAGTATTCGTCGCGGTCGTGACTTAGAATCGGAATGTTAGGTACTGGCTTCGGGCTGTGGTGTCGCGAAAAATAGATTATGAGTGTGATGCTCAATCCTATGCAGGTCAAGCAGAGCACATAGTTCAGAGAACTGGGGAACTGAGCGAGAATAATCGAAGTCATGTTACTCGATCTGTACAATCTTCTTTCTTCAGAGTAGTTAAAGACACCCAAAATCAATGGTAGATAAGTCCTTCCGCTACAAACAGCGGTAAGAATTGCGACTGGGCGACAGTCAGGTGGCGCGACAGACAGTACGAGCTGCACGCTTGATCTATCCAACTCTGTTAGTTGCTTGCGCAAGATACAGGCTCCCTGCACGTAGCTAGGCTCGCAGGCACAGCCTTGTTTTCCGCGGGACGGACAGACCTCGTACCGATCCGGTATGCAAATTTACCGCGGAACGTACCGGACCCCGTATGCAAGGGAACGTACCGATCCCGTACCGATCCCGCACGCAAGGCAAGACGCTAGCAGGGCTCGCAGGATTCCTCACCTACCCTACATTGCCCGAGCAGGCAGGGTGCGTCTAGCAAGCGCGCCTTTCTAGCTTTTTAAGCCTGTCTCGGCGCCTAGATTACTAAACTACGCAGTCGTATCGGATTTGGAATCTAGCCTCCTATACTAATTTACGATCTATAATCCGAGTATTTAAAAAAGGATATATCTATATCCTAGCTAGTTAAGAGATCTATAGATATAGGTATAATCTAGTACTTAATCGTACGACTTATCTATTCTACGTTTAGATAGAAATATATAGTCTTAGCGTAGTCTATCTTTTAAATTTTTTTAAAAGATCTAGAAGTTAAATAGGCGTAATATATAAATAGTATTATAGAGTTTAATCTATAAATTAATCCGTACCTTTATATATATCTGCTAGCTTTATTTTTAATATATAAAACTAATTATCTACTACTTAGCTACCTATATATATATATATATATATATATATATATAGTTTTATAAATTTTGCTTCTAACGCTAAAGAGTTATTAAAACCTAATATTTTAAAATCTATAAGGTATCTATACGGCTATATATTAAGCCCTATTTACTTCTAGCCGTCTACCGATAATGCGGTTTAATTGTAGGTTATCGGCGGATTAGTAGAATTATTCTTAGTAGACTTGTTCTTAGTAGACTTGTTCTTAGTAGACTTGTTCTTAGTAGACTTGTTCTTGTCTCTATATACGTCCTTTCTTATCTACTAGTTCGTTAACCCTCGACGGCGGCAGATATTCTAAGGGACTTCGGCGTCGGTAGGCTTCTTGAATTTCCCTGTCCCCTTCTAGACGCTCCGTGGATGCCTCAGGTTCTGCCAGGGCGGCAAGCCGGAAGCGGGAGGGTCTGAGCGGCGACAAGAATTTCCTTGCTGTCTACCGAGCTACCGATAAGTAAGTAGACGCACCCTCAGACTAGTTCCAGTCCAAACTGGCTTCGTATCTCGGCTAATTTGTTGCATATCTCGAAGCTACGACCGCTATGCCTAGCTGCTCCTTTTCGATTAACTACGGCATACCGCAATTGGGATGCTGACGTAGAAGTTCTTTATTGTCATGCCATACTGGCATGAAGCTGCATATACGCCACGATCGTAACCTCTCAGACTCTTGTATCATTCATCATGGCTACCAAGTGCCAAGTGGTTGCTGTCGCCGGGGGTACGGGCGGACTGGGTCGAGCATTTGCGGATGTTCTCCAAAATGATTACAAAGTCATCGTGCTAACACATCAGGTAAGTCATCGACACGGGCTATGTCATCCAGTCTCATCGTAACAGTGTTCTTGTAGCCCAAAACGCGTGAGCAAGAGGTCTCTGTAGACTATAATGATATACAACAACTGCGTGACGTACTCGAGACGAACGACATCTTCGCAGTCGTGTCGACGCTGAGTGATGCCGCCGGCGATGCCCAAATCAACCTTCTTGAAGCCTGTCTACAATCACAGTCGACTAGACGCTTTATCCCAAGTTCTTGGTTCCTGCACTATCCGCGGAGGTTGGTTGGCAATGTTTGTCTATAGTTCTCATCAACTCGAACTAATGACTTTCAGCGCTATCGACGTCATGCCACCGCTGGCAGATTATTTCAGGTGCCTCGATAGGCTCAACACCACATTGGAAACGAAATCTCTTGAGTGGACAGTCGTTAGCAACGGAATCTTTCTTGATTACTTCGGAATGCCTAGGATGCCTACAACGCTGCGCTCGGCTTGCTTTATCGTCGACATGCAGCATGAAATGATCGCGATACCTGGTGACGGAAACGACGTCGTAACCTTGACTTCCACAAGAGATGTGGCGGCACACGTATCTGCGCTTTTGAAATTGCCAGTGGGTTCATGGCCGCGGCAGTATCACATTGCTGGGGACCGAATGACACTCAACGACTTTGTAAAGCTAACGAAAATGGTCACGGGTAGACAGCTGCGAGTGGTATACGATGAGAAGGAAAAGCTCCAGCGGGGAGAGATTACCTTGTTGCCGTCGCAATCGTCGCAAAGGTACGGGTTCGACCTTGAGATCTTTATGAAATACATTGCCATCATGGAGACATGGATAGTGGACGGCTTGATGGACATTGAGCCCACTCCAGTCGAGGGTATGCCCACAATCTCCTGTACAACCGTGAAGGAGATGCTCGAGAACTATTGGAAGATATAGAGTCCTCACAACATGATTTGAATCACGAGTACTCGTAGCCACTCGCTTGAGGTATGAAGTGGGCGGACTTGCGAACAGTGCTGCCCAGCAAGGAAGCTCCAGAGTGCCGTCTAAGGCTAGATACATGCCTTTTACATCGAGAAGTGAGCTTGATGCTCAGCTCAGTCCGGATCCCCAACATCTGTCCTAAAATTCTGTGACCGCTTCTACTTCTCATACGAAAAACCACATTCAATATCAGAACTCCGTGCCAGCCTGAATTGCCAAGACACAAGGCTGCCTCCAGGCAAGAGGTATAAACGTCAGCGATGCATGGGTCGAACGTGCGTGCGAGCTCTCTAAACACAGTAACGTTGCATTTCCTCTCTCGTTTGCTACATTGAATCAAATACCGTGTCACCTCGCTGTCTAACTCAACGCGCGCGGAAAAGCCACCAAACGACAACATTGTCAGACATTTGAAGATCTTCAGTGAGCAGCAACTGCTGGCGGTTGCGGCACTCGGTGACTTGGGATCCACCCTTGGTGTACGATACGCGGCCCGAACGACACAGGATAATCAATCTTCGAATGCATCATGCCCCAATTATACCAGAACACATGGTCGCCTTCTTCCTCTGGACCGACGTACACATACTCAGGCCGCAAGATTCGTTGCTGCAGCTGGTGCATGAACGCGCGAGCATGCTCGGCACCCTCGATGACCTCCGGCTCCTTTTGATCCACCGAGCGGCGGATGAGAAGGCGTCGGACACAGTTTGGTTGAACTTGGAGAGATTTCTCCCCCGTGAGCTCGTTGATCCAAACCATGGGGTACTGTTGGCGAAAGAAGAGCAGGGATCGTCAGCAAAGACTGATCTCGGAGAAACTGTGAAAGTCGCTACCAACCGTCTTGGTCCAACGCTCCTCACGAGCAATTTCCTCCATTGTCTCAGGCGATTTTTCACGACCTTCGTCCGCAACACCCAATCCGTTTGGATTCCCGCGACAGCTCCGAATCCATTCGTACGGATAATGCATGTATTCGACAGAGCTATTGTCGACCATGACTTTCTCCTCATCTGTTAACATTTCGTACAATTGGGAAGTACTGAAGAACCCGGTACGACCTGGCTTGGCCTTTAGACTCATACCAGACCCGTCTGCCCATTCGATTGTCTGCTCGCCCTGAGGAAGCTTGATGAACCGCAGCGAGCTGATGTAAGGTGGATGAACCTTGTAAAGAGGGCCATCCATATGCCACGATTGGAAGCGGGTGATGCCAGCTTGGAAGTCCTCTTCCGCGAGTGGTTTGGAGTAATAGTTGCCGGCGAAGGCCTCACCGAGATCAAGTTTCTTCAAACCGTAGTGGTCGTCCCCCTGGTATCCTTTACCCATCAAATGGATGTGACCTTCATCAGCGGTAGGCACCGTTGCGAGTTTCAGCATAGCCTAGATATTTCCCGATCAGCAAATCACTTCTTGAAGCCTTTCCACGGCACGGCGCTCGGGCGATTACGGACAATCAATCCTTCTCCAGTGGGGTGAAAGAGTTGCCCAAACTCCTCTTGAGTGATCATATGGTGCATGGGATCTAATTTTTTGATGACTTCCCAATTTCTGTCTGGCGTCTCCGCTTGTTGGCCTTTGACTATTACAACTTTATGGCGCAGTATAGCCTCGCGGAGTTGATCGATCTCGGCATCTATGCAATCCATTTGGTCAACAATAGTGGACGATATGCTGCCGTGAGGGTACGGAGTCGTAACTTACCTGAGGCGCTGTTCAGATCGAGGCCAGTGATGTATGCTCCGAACTAAAAATTTCTCTGCCGTTAATATGCGGTACTGTTGAATTTTTCTCGCATCAAGCTCCTACGACTAACATTGAGCTTTTTCTCCGGTCCATGGACGATGGGGTGGACTTCGATGTGGCTAGTAGCCCCGTTGGTATTGATCGAAGCCATGAACTTTCTGGTAAAATGTTGTACTGAACGAAGAAGACTTGTCGAGTGGGATAGATGCGAAGGACTCTGGATTCCCTATACGGAGGGCGGAACAAACAGCTTCCACTCTACTAATACACCAAGCACCAAGCCGGCAACATATGCAGCTATTTCTGCGAGGGTGCGTAGTTCTAGTTTGCTTATCCAAGCTTCGCATATCAGTCCGATTTGTCTCCTAGTGAGTGGCGAAGTCCTTGATCAGCATCCCGGCTTTGCAACGCCGCGAGGATTACCGAGTGCCTATACAGCGGAGTAATAGTGGAATTGCCGATTATACTCGAGGCAACAGAATGCAGACGAACTCCATAAATGGAATCCCGAGTTCCCAGGGTAGAGGCAGCGGTCAGCGGTCTATATCGCTCAGGGTTTTGTTTTATTCGAAGATACCGTAACCAATATAGAATCTCAGAAGCGCAAAGTGTTACATAGGAGAAAGGCACTACATAGTCGATATCTAGATTTTCGAAGAAACAAACTCCAATTCGCCCAAGGCGTGTGTTCACACCCCCAACTTGAGTAGCATCAGCTTTATGTAAAGGTTTTCCGACGCAAATAAGTCCGATAGAAACTGCAGTTCCGCCATCAGTTCGTTATGCAACAAAGACAGGATCTTTTTCAGATATTTATTGGTTTCCTTCAGCTCCATTTGTTCTAGAATCAGACTTTTCTGAGCGTCATCGAGGGCTCCATCGGCCAGTCTCGTAGACAGCAGATTCTGGAGCAGAATGTTGTGTGGTTCTTGTGCAATCGTATAGATCAAGGGAATTGTGTACGTTCCGCAATCCAGATCTTCACAGAATCCCTTTTGTTTGGTGTACTTTTCAAATGTCGTGGTTAGAGTGTGATTGATGCCCAATGGACGTGTGCGAGTAGAACTTACTTCATGCGACGTGATATTTTGGAAGTCGTCGCGGATCTGGAAGAAACGACCGAGGAGAAGACAGAAGCGCAATAGTGACCTCTCCGTCGCTTTATCCGTTGTTGAGAAAAGACACATAAGTTTCGCGGCCAGTATGAAGAGAGCGCCAGTCTCTGCGATAGAGCGAGTCAGTGTTTGCCGTGTACAGGTCTGTATCATTGCTCAACACGCCAGGGACACTCACTCTGGTCAATCGTCTGGATGTATTCAGTCAATGACGGGCAAGAGAGATTTCGAGATGAGTGGAGGTCCTGAGCTTGACCAACGAAAAGACTGGTCAACTGTTCTAACACTATATCGACCCCTCGATCGCCTGCGAACCGACGTGTCTCCTTGATAGATTCGTTTACGAGGAATGAGGCCGAATTGATCGTTTGAGCGATTCCAAAGACGCGATGAGTGGCAGGTTTGCTCCGGCGCAATGGAGAGCCGTCCTGAACGTCGTCAAACCTGGTCATGGGAGAGTATGTCAGCAGAACTGCAGGCTCAGGGGATGGTGTGTCAGAGTATATTACATCAGTGACGCATTATGCAGCATGCGCACGACTTTCTTCACTTGAGAAGATGTTTCTCTACCCACGTCTAGCCAGTGATTGATACCATCCAGAAACATGTCTCGGGCACCCTTGGAGGGAAGCGAGTCTATGTATTCCCATGGCGCACTGATTGTCTGTCGTTACCGTCAGAACTGCATGCTTGACCCAAATGTAGAAGAGAGTCTTACTTCATGAGACAATGGGGGAAGTGAGCAGTCGAGGAGAGAGGACATTATGCCTGAGATGTCATCGGTCCCTCCTTCCTGGGATCTGGATTCAACCGTGGTTTCAGACTCAGGCTTCGGCGATCCGTTCGTGCTTGTTGAGTCGTAAGAACTGCTGGAGCTGTCAAATCCGGTGGGATCGGGAACGCCATTCAGCATCCAATCCACTTGAGTCTGGTTGAAATGCTGCCCGGGGTTGTATCTCGGGCAGGATTTGCTCCAAATGACGTTGCCTGAAATGCTGTATTGCATGGCTTCAATGTAAGTGCGTAGATCTGCGGATAGCGACTCGTCGTCCTTGACCCTCTGAACATTTTCGACGTATCGGGCAACGTACTGAGCTGCCAGTTCCCGGCAGTATTGGCCAGCCTGCTCCTCGGACAGTCCTTTCTCTTGCATGAGAATCCAGACGGCATTGATGATATGACTACGCCCAGACTTTTGGTTCGCATCCCGCTCCTTGGGCCATGAGAAGACGTCGTTGGCTAGTCCCACAGCAACCCAGGCGGGCTCCATCAGCCTGTGGCAAGCTTCCATTTCGTGGTCCGGGATGTGAAGGGCCATACCGAAGGTCACAACGCCATACCAGAACCTAGCGTAGTGAATGTTAGTCGGACTGGTAAACAGCGCCCGGCAAAGAGAAACTCACATCTCGCCCACGTCCTTGACACGATAGGGTAGGTAGTCTTCTAGTCGTGTAAAGATTGTGCCATGCTGACGACTTGAACCGACTCTGAGGAACTCGGACCACGCCCTCATGGTTACAACCGCGCACTTCTTGTCAATTGCCATCATCTCAGATACCATCTGTGTGAGTATTCGCATCTTTCCACTGCTGTCGAGGTCTTTCGGCGGCCTCGAGCTCAGAGCGTCCGTTAGGAAGCCTTGCATCATCTTATCGTTCTCGGAATTCATCTACCTCTATGAGCACCGTGCCTTGTGTGACCGCGAGATCTCCCGAATACATACATTGTCTTCAGTTTCCAGCTCAGTAGCATCTAGAAGCAGTTCGTTAGGAGTCGCAAGTATGGAAGTCGCTGCTATACTAGACTTACCATCATACAAGAACGCGAATTCATTCGCATATGAAATGATTTCCAGGCGTTCTGGTATACATTCGGGCACGCAGACTGTCATGAAGCTGAAATCGTGACCTAGAGTGCCTTTGAACTGCTTGATAGGCGCAACATATCTGGCCCAATCATGCTGCGCGCGGATAGCACCTCGATCCTCGAAGTGCGTAAAGTTGTTCTTTCGTAAGTCAATGCCCTTTGATAGCCCTTCATTGTCGTATGTCTTTGGGTCTACAATGGTAGAGAACTGATAGATCATGATAGTCTGTCGTCCTAGACTGTCTCGTCCTACATGCAATGAGTACAACGGCAGCAAGAGTATAGTAGTACGATGTATATAGTGTCGTACTCGTCCGAAATGTAGCGAATAACGTATAGCAGCTAGGCCCGGGGCACGCACAGCCTCGCGTAATGTGCACTTTCGAGGAATCTTAGGCTTGAAAATAAATACTTATTTCCTCTATAGATTTAGGTAAAAGTTAGTAAATAGATTATTTACTTAGATTCTAGTTTAAAAATATAGTACTTAAGTTATTTACTAAAATCTATAGGATAAAAAGAAGCTAAATACCTAATAGATACTCTATAGTACTTAGAATATAAATAATTACTATATATATTACTACTAATACCTATAGTTTACTTTATAAAAACCTTAATATATATTGAAATAAAAAATAGTAATAGAGTATTTTATATAAGTTTAGTTATATAGTAGATTTATATTATTCGAGTAGTAATAAGTATATTATAAGCTATATATTCTTTCTTTTATATCTTTTTATTATTTAAAATACTAAAAAAGATATTATATATACTAATACTAATAAAATAAACCAAATTATAAAACTCTTAAAGTATTTATAGTTTAGGCTCTATAGTACTAGTATTTAAGCTAAATATACGAAAGGTAGGGGTTAGATATACTTGTTTCCTATCTTTAGTTTCCTTTCTCCCGTACGTATTCTAGTAGCGCCGCGACGAGTACCGAGCGACGACGTATACCGAGCGACGTATAACGACGAGTACCGAGCGAGCTACGACGATATGCAAGCTAGAGTAGATTGGCCTACTAAATTAGGAGAAACTAGCTGCGTACAAAGCAAACCAAGCCGGCTATTTTCTGTAAGCTGCCTACTAGGCAAGCCAAGTCAGCTAGTTTCTGCTATGAACTGCCTACTAAGCAAACCGAGCCGGCCAATTCCAGCTTCCACTGATCTGGCAGGCTGTGCAAGCTATTTTCTCACAGCCTCGCAAGCTATGCGAGCCAGTTTCTCCAGATATTGGCCGGCTTCTCCAGATATTGGCCGGCTTAGCTCGGCTTAGATCGCAAGCTATGCGAGCCAGTTTCTCCAGATATTGGGCGATAGCTCGGCTTAGATCGCAAGCTATGCGAGCCAGTTTCTCCAGATATTGGGCAATAGCTCGGCTTAGATCGCAAGCCGGTTTGCTTGTACTCAGTAGGCTGCACTGTCCCTTGTTCATTCAATGAAGTTCTAGTAGCGCCGATCCTCAAACGGTATCTTTTTCATGTGACAGTGTTGAGGGCCGCAGTGCATGGATCTTCGGATCAGCAGGTTGTCGCGCTGCGTACTGGTGCCTAGTGAGCCGTAATCCTACTCGCAAAACTGAACGAGGTAGAGTAGCAGGACAAGGTCACCATGAAGCAAGGCGACTTCTTGTCGGAGTCGGTGTGAGCTGGACTCGTCGGCCGTGCAGTGCTCGCTGCTCGGATCGGATGTGTCTCCATCATTGTATGGTTAGTGGCCTTTCGAAGTCTTGACTAATGATCGTTTCACCTCTAAGTCCGCTCAACAGCGAGGCTCTGCAAGTTCACTACTGACGCGACCAAGTCTGCCTCGTTGCCATTCACAATGGCTTCCATACCATGGCCAGCATTACTCAAACTTGTGCTTGCTCTTTTCATTTGGACAGGCACGAGAGTGATCTATAATATCTACTTCCATCCGCTTAGGTCATTCCCCGGTCCGGTCTTAGCTCGCGCAACGCGGCTGTACTCAGTTTACATTCGAGCTGCTGGCTTATCTGATTGGAAAGCACTCCAATGGCACAACCAATACGGCGGAATTGTGAGAGTTGCGCCAGATGAACGTTCGTTCAGCCCTTCTTCTTGCCTGAGAGCGTGTAGAATTGACCTGGAACCTTCAGTCAGCTTCAGCACAGGCTCTGCCTGGGAAGACATTTATGGCACAAAATTGAGCAAGTCGCAGCGTCTTCAGAAAGACCCACACTTCTACATGGGCGCGACCGCGCCAAACGGAGAGAAGAATCTGGTCTGTCGTACTTTAGCCCGCACTATCCAGCTTGCTGAACGAGTACTTCGTAGGGTGCTGCCAACGATGAGGATCACAGTCGTATCCGCAGTGTAATAGCCCATGGCTTCTCGGACAGAGCGCTTCATACCCAGGAAGGCCTGATCCGAGCTCATGTAGATCGATTGGTGCAACACCTGGGAGATCTTCACGAAAAACCAACTGACATCGTCCGTTGGATACACCACCACGCGTACGATGTGATTGCACATTTGTGCTTCGGTCAAGACCTTGATGCCTTAAGCTCCAAAGGCTGGTTTCCACCAGCTAAAGCCGTCTTTGAAGGAATTCGCGAAGGCGTGACTCTCATTGAAGTCTTGCGATTCGTTCCCTTCAAAGCGACTGTGCTTGGGATGCTGGTCTGGGCGTTTGGCAAGGCTCGTCGTGAGAACTTCGATGCCTCAGTGTCTCGAGCCATGCTACGTCTGCGTCAGGAGGAGACAGACAATGTTGATTTCAGTGAGCCAATCCCTGACCGCCTGCATTCGATGTAGCACTAATCAGCGATTCAGTCTCATACATATTGAGGGCCAAAGAATCTGCCAAAGAGCTAACACCGTCAGAGTTGACGGCCAATGTTGCCCTCCTGATTGATGCAGGATCCGAAACCACAGCCACTATGCTGTGCGGTTGCCTCTTCTACCTATCCATGGATCGAACGACGTTGGAGGCACTGACCAGCACGCTGCGTAATGAATTCAAAACTTACGATGAAATCACTCTTCGAAGCTTGGCGAAGATGAAGCCTTTGACCAACGTTCTCCAAGAGAGCTTAAGAGTCTATCCTCCATTGCCAGCATCGCTTCCTCGGATGATACCAGGAACAGGAGCCACGAGTGAGTCGTATCCATGTGTGATCGCCCTCACTAACTTTCCGCTGATAAACCCAGTAAATGGTATTCTCGTGCCTCCGAAGACCCGGGTTGGAGTACATCAGCTTGCAGCATATCACAGTGCGAAAAACTTCGCTCAACCAGACAAGTTTCTCCCAGAGAGATGGGATGGTACTGACGAGCGATTTGCTCACGATCAGCGATACGTACTTCAGCCGTTCTCGCTGGGCTCTCGTGGCTGTTTAGGCAAGAAGTAAGTGCGCGCCGAGTGAAGTGATTCTAGCCCTTGGCAGCTACTTACAAGAAAGCCAGTCTAGCGTGGGCCGAGATGAGACTGACATTAGCATGTCTTCTGTGGAGTTTCGATCTGATCCTGGAGCCGGGTCAAGAGAAGTGGCACAAAAAGCAGCTCACTTGGTTCATCTGGGATAAAAAGCCACTTCACATGCGTTTCGTGCCAAGAAGAAAGTAGAGAGCGAGCGCTGCAGATATAGCCCCAAGAGTCGCCGCGGATCCTGCGTCGCGTGGAGTCAGATTTCCTGGGAGAAGGTCTGAATGGAAGTGCATGGCAGCGGTTGGAAGGGATATAGATGACTTATCCCAGCCCTCACTGTCTGAAGTGACACAAAATCTATATTCAGGCCCGAAAGAATGAAGATAGCTCAAGTATTTCTGCAGCTATGCCTTCTGTGCCACAGGCCTAGCTACGATAATCGAGTCATACTCGTGAGAGTAACGAACGATGTCTTTGATCTCCCACTGTGCCCCTTCCAACAAGGCATGCCACTGCGCCAATGTTCTTTCATGAGATGCCACCTGCGCCATCATAGCCAAATCCAACATGGTGACATGACGATGGCTGCCTTGATTCAAAAGCACTTTGTCATCGATCAACAACAGCGAGTCCTCTTCCATCGCAGGCCTCAAGCCATCCAATATCAGTCGGCAACGATCGTCGGGGTTATCGTGGAGGATATTTCGGTAGTAGTAGAACTTGGCTCCTTTGACCTTCTGTTCCGTCAAATAATCCTGCGCAAGCAACTCCACACCTTCCAGAGCCGGTGCTACGTCGATTGTCTCCTGCAGATCCTCCAGGATGACGCGCCCCGGCAAATGTGGAAATTTTGCTTTCAATCCGCGACATTGAATACCAAGGCTGCCGCCTACATCAACGAAGAGCACTTTGTTGGGATCGGCCCGCGAGGCAAAGTCGCCGAGATATGATTCGAGCGGGAATGCATTGAGCCAATCTTCTCGGAACTGCACATCCAGAGCGAGACGAAGATGCTCGAATATTTTAGGCTGGGTGCGGACCCAGGTAAAAAAAGGTTCCTTAGAGCCCCAGGCTTTGTTGAATGCGGTGTCAGTGGACGACGTGATGTCTTGGAACTTTCGCTCCACCAACAGATCGGGCAGAGCAGAATTAGTCCGTCGTTGACAATCGAAGCTGAACAATGAAATGTGTGAGCTCGATGTGATTGATTCCCTACCGGGGAGAGAGACTTACGACAGTCGAATCCCCCCTTCAATGCCAGGCTGGGAAAGCGTTCGGGTGATGTGGCTGGCCATGAATGTGTCTTGATCAACTTCTTCGATCGTGTTGATCGAGGCTAGATAACGCAAGACGCGCCCTACACACATTTCAGCAAAGTCATTTGGCCATGATACATTCAAATGCATACCAAGCAACAGTTCCGAAGCTCCATTCACTTTGGCAATATCATGCAGCTTCAAGGGCTTGTCCGAGGCTGCTAAGCTGGTGAAGATCCGCATGTCGCATCCAATTCGGATCGCTACGTGTTGGAAATCCTGCCGTGGCGTTAGTCATGTCGGTCATATTTGGTTGGAAATGTGCTACCAGATCATAGTAACGCATCAGTGTCTCCCACGGAGATTCGAGGGATTGCTGCGTCTTGATCAGGAAGTCTTGAATCTTCTGAGAGCCCTGGCTGTCAGTACGCGCCGCAAGACCGGCGATTTGAGTGGAAAGCCGCAGCAGCTCCTGATCCAGAGCTGTCTCTTGAGACGCCATTGGATTCGGTCCCTCTTGAGTGGCTGGCAGCGCGCTGAATAACGACAAGAGGAGCAGTAATGTCGAGATGGTAGCTGAAAGGGCTGCGAAGTGTTGAGAGTGATGTGAAATGTTCACAGCAGACAGAAAGTGACTTTATCTCTGCAGTCAGCCTTGCAGTCAGCCTTGCAGTCAGCACGCTTTGAGACCCTATGCCGGCAGTCTGAGCTCTCAGATGCTGCTCACGACGCTCAGCTGGGGAAACCTTCGAGTCCGGAACACCAACACGTGCAATCGAGGTCTCATGATTCCAGCTTCTCATCATCCAACAAACAAACTGCCCTAGATGGTGCCACGAGGACGTTGTCGTTAGTACCACTAATGCATAGTGCAATTCAAGTATCTTGGCCGTAAGAGTTAATACAAGGTTCGGGACGGCCGGGCCGGCGATCTGGCGTAATAGCTCCGTACAAAGAAGGACCAGGTGCCTTGTGCTCCGCTGGCGCCGGGATGACATACGCAGAATGTAGCGGCTTGGCAGATATCAGCTGATTGAATTGCAACCGCAGGTCATCATGCATGCAATCATCTTCGATGCACGCGAGCAGTCTAGCAGGCGATTTTGCGATGCCCGCCTCAGTCCTCGAGAGATGCTGTTGTTTCACTCCCTCACACTTCGCCGGTCCCCTTCGCTGCGGAGCTATACTTAAGATATCCGCGAAACACCTTCTTTGGAACTCGAACGAAGCGCCGCAATGCTTGGAGGAGGATTCCACAGCTACTGGCCGTCGATGGCAACGACGCAACTGCAATGGACTGTACTACCACTACTGCTCCTCTTGCCCATGGCCTTCTTGTGGCCCTGGATACGACAGGTCTGGAACAGGTATCTCCATCTTCGAATGATCCCTTCGCCACACGAAAAGGACTACTTCTGGTTCGTCACAAAATCTACAAGGGCCGAATTCCTTTCCGAGGCTGCTCGATTATTACGCAAAGGATTTGCCAGCGCCGACGTGATCCGACTCCACGCGGGTTGGGATCACATAGTGGTACTGTCTCCGTTCTATGCGGAGCGTGTTCGTGCAGACGACAAGTTATCGCCGGATACATTCTCTGATAAGGAAATGTTTGGCGAAGTTCCGGGATTCGAGCCATATAGGTTCCTCTGCACACACCGTGACCTGATTCGTAACGTGATCAGTATGCGCCTCAACCGATGTTTCGGTGCGTACCCGTTGATTCTCTCTCTCTCATTGACAGCGCCACTAATCACTTCTGGAGGCCCTGGTACGATCTATCTCTCCGAGGCCATCGAAGATGCTTTGAGGAAGAACATAGGCAATGATACCGGTCTGTGACCCCTTTCTTTCTCTTTGGCCAAACCTGCCCCTTGATGTTGTCAATATACTAATAAGATGTTCATTAGAGTGGCGCCGAGTTCCCCTTGGTACAGCTGTTCTCAGAGTTCTGACTCAGTCAACATCTCGTGCGCTCCAGGGACCAGAGCTTTCCTACGACGAAGAATGGCTTGAAATCGCAACACAGTACACTCTGACTAGTATCACAGGGGTCACAACGCTCCGCAGGCTTCCTCGGTTTCTGGTTCCTGTGCTCCACTGGTACGTTCCAGACGCCATCAAGTCGCGGCAGCTGTTGAGCCGTGCTAGAGCGAAACTCTTGCCCATCTATGAGAAACGCAAGCATGAGCTCTGTCAAGCCATCAACAGTGGCACTTATCGACCGGAAGACGCCGATGCCCTTGGATGGTACGAAGAGCTGGCAAACGGCCGAGACTATGATCCCGTTGTCGCCCAACTTACAGTGGCCGTCGCTGCAATTCACACCACAACCGACTTCATGTGTCAGTTTTTATCTGATCTGGTCAGATATCCTGAGTACATTCAGCCCCTCCGAGAGGAGCTCATACTTGCCCTTCAAGATAAGGGCTGGAAAGCATCCACGATCTTGCAACTGCCCCTTCTTGACAGCATCATGAAGGAGTCTCAGCGGCTGAAGCCCATTTCGATAGGTTAGTCCAACTGCCAATCTGAGCTTAAGGAAGACTTTCTCACAGTTACAGCTTTCATGAGAAGTATTGCCCAGCATGATATTGCGCTGGAAGATGATGTGACGATTCCCCAGGATACTTCAGTCATCGTTTCTGCGCATGCAATGCGGGATTCCACCTTGTATGAGAATCCCGACGACTTTGACGGCTATCGCTTCGTGAACCCAGCCAAAAATCACGAGTCTCGACATTTTACCTCTGTCAGCGTCGGGCACATGGGGTTTGGATTCGGCAAGCACGCCTGTCCGGGCCGGTTCTTCGTGAATCTCCAAACCAAGATCTTCATTGCTCACATGTTGCTCAAGTACGATTGGAAGTTTGCCACGGAAGGGGGCCCTGCAATTCGAACTAGTGGTTTTGACCAGGTCATTGATCCTTCAGCCGAAATGCTGATACGAAGACGTCGAGAGGAAATCCAGATCGAGGCACTATACGGTTGAATGCTAGTTGAGCCGAACTCAAACCACACTTCAAGCGCGATGCCGCTAGAACTGAGGAGAATCACCGGACCGCAAGTGAGCAGCAAGTGGGGCAATGTAGAAGGATACAGAATGAAATCTAGCTGCTAGCCGTATCACTGCCGCTATTGACTTCAATCCCTGAGACGTTACGCAAGCAGCTTATCCCTACGGGCATGGCATTCGCGGCAACGGCTCATATAGAACTGGCTTATTAGCGCATTCGTATCTGATCCGTCGCTACTAATCAGTAAGCCATTCCAACCCATATTCGATCTCAAGGCCTTAGGGGATGATCGGGTACGAAGATGGCCCATTTAGCTACATGACGTACTCCTAAGATTAGAAACTTCTCTATCGACCGAGATCCGAGCGAAGTTCTCTTCGCTGGTAGCCAAATGAGGGTTTGTAAAGATGTAGTACAAGAAAAGCTACTCGCCCCGTGCTGGATAGTAATAGACTTTACGCAACATGCAGCAGCACATAGCGAGCTCCTCTTTGCTCCTCGTTGTATTAGCAATCACTTTGATATATGCTCTTGGTGTTGTGTTCTACCGGCTCTTCTACCACCCTCTAGCCAAATTTCCTGGGCCGAGAATCGCTGCTGCTACCTATCTGTACGAAATCGCTTTTGATTATTTCGGTCATGGAGCGTACTTGTTTGAGATCGAACGCATGCATGAGAAATATGGTGCGTCGAATCGAAATTCGGGCTTTCTTTCTGTGCAAGATCACTTTCTGACCTCGACTTCTTCTGAAGGACCTGTTGTGCGTGTGAACCCAAAAGAGCTCTCGATTAAGGATGGAGAGTTCTACGACAAGGTCTACGTCAATGGAAACGTCCGACGCACAGAGGCATTGCCCAGCTTCGGCGATGGAATGGATTTCAACCGTGAATATGACCGGCGCCCCGAGCAGAAGCGTATGTATAAACTGACTTACCGCCATGCAGATAGCCATGGAATGACGGTAGACCACCATCACCACAGGATGCGACGCAAGCCTCTCGAACCCTTTTTCTCTAGAGCCGGAGTCGCACGATTCGAGCCGAACCTTGCGTCTGTTGTAATGACGTTGGTGCATCGACTTCGTGGCTGGGAGGGTACAGGTACCGTGCTGCGGCTTGACCATGCTTTTGCTGCTCTTGCTGGAGACATCATCAGCACGATGTGCATCGAAAGTCCGAGCATGTCCTTTCTGGAGGATAGAGATTTTGCCCCGGATTGGTACAATCTCTTCCATACGCTTATCACGTCCATGCCGATTTTCATGAACTTTCCGTGGATCATCAAGTCAGTCATTGCTACAGGTCCGGAAGGCTGGATTGCACTAATCTCTGCTAGGGCCGTTCGACTTATCCCAACCTCCATTCTGAAGCGCGTTGACCCGCGTAGCCAGATGTTCCGCGACTGGCGTGATGTGAGTTCGTGGTGACAATCAAGGACTCTTATGCTTGACACTGACCTTCCAGATGTCAGTAGCTGAGATCGAGAAGTCGCTTCGTCGGAAAGCTAATAAGGAGGTCTCAACGTACCAGCGGGGAACACTCAAGGCGCCAACGTTATTTGATCATCTCGTAAATAGTGATCTGCCGAGTAGCGAGATGTCGGTGGAGCGTCTTGCCTCGGAAGCTCAAGTTATCTTGGGTGCGGGAACAGTCACGACAGCTCAGAGCATGAGTCACCTAGTTGTCAATATCCTTCTCCGGCCAGAGGTAGAGAACCGACTGCGTGAAGAGCTTGCTACTCTGATGAAGCATTTGGGCGAGGCTCGCCTCCCTGAGGCCCGAGAACTGGAAAAACTGCCATATCTGCAGGCTTGCATCAAAGAGGGACTGCGGTATGCTCCATACGCACTCTTCAAACGATCACACGCTTACCAAGATCCAGTCTCAGCCATGGCTTGATGCATCGACTGCCACGGATTGCGCCAGATGTGGCATTGGATTGCAATGGCTGGATAATTCCACCTGGAGTATGCTTTCAGCCTGAGCCGTACGCACGTAGCGTGCATCGTACTGATGAAATTCGCAGACACCAGTGGGAATGTCCGCTTATCTCATGCATATGGACGATTCCGTGTATTCGAACCCCAAGGAGTTCGTGCCAGAGCGTTGGCTGGGAGAACCTGACCCAAAAATGGAGAGAAATTACGTGCCTTTCTCGAGGGGATCTCGTAGATGTCTCGCTCCCAAGTGCGTTCATGGCTACTTTTGCCTTCTGTTACGATGCTGATCCTTCGCAGTCTGGCGTACGCCGAGATTTCAATGGTGATGGCTGCGCTGTTCAGTCCATGGAGTCCGAAGATCAGGCTCTACGAGACAAATGCTTCAGACGTTGACCCGGTTTGCGCGTTTCTGTTGCCTCTGCCCCGTTTGGACAGTAAAGGTGTACGAGTAATCGTCGAAGAGAGCAAGGACAATTCAAAATAGCTTGTTTGTCGTCCGTTTTAGACCCCGTAGTAGTTCGGTTTGCGAACTGCTAAACGTGTACAGTTTGGTTTCTTAGCGGCGAACTAGCTACCTAGTTCCGGATTAGTTTTTTTAAACTATATAGATTCCTAGTTTAAACTAGAGACTATATTAGTTTTACTATAAGGATACTCTTATTCGACTACCGGCTACGATTACCGGCTATAATAGTAACTAGGTTATATTTACTGCGCTCGCGGTTGCCTTAATAATAGCTATTACCGTTGCTAGGGTATATTTACTATTACTAGAGCGTAGTTACCGTTACTAGGATATAGTTACCGTAGTTATAAAAGCTTACCTATATAATAGTTAGCGGGTTATAGCCTAAGGTACGAACAAGCAGGCTTAGTATTAGTAAAGCGGACTTCTAACTCGATAGATCTTCTTCCTTCCTAGATAGCGATATTCGAATATAAGGCCTACGATACGTCTTCTAGCTCCCCTAGATAGGCTCTTATTATCGTGAGTTATAGTATAGTATAGGCGTTTAATCGGCAGCAGCGAGAGCGTAGTTTTAAGGGTATAGCGATAGGCGTTTAGCATTTGATTTTTAGCGCAGAAGACTAGACAATATAGTAGTAGAATATAGTATTTAATATAGCACTTATATATTAGTTTAGATACCCGAATAGTAGAGACATTAGCAAGTAGCATTAACACTAATAGAATAGTAGTAATAGAAGCAGACGATATAGTACCCGATCGGAAGACTATATATATAGAGCCCTTACGATCTAAGCGGAAACCCGTATTCGAGTGCCTAACTAGTATTACTAAAAGCAAGCGACATACGAGAAGCAGTATACTAGCGGAAATAGCGACTATAAAAGCGTATATAACGTAATAATCTACTACTAGCTTTAAGCCCTTAAATTCCGACTCCCTAAGTACCGCGGTAATCTATCGTACTACCTACTACTCCTAAAGAAGGTCGTATGTTAAGAGAGGGCAATAGTAAGTAGAATAGCGTAAAGGGCACTTAGAAGGTCGTACGGAAGAAGCGGGCAAGTTAGGATCTTAAGAGCCCGGAATTAGTAGAGAAAGTTACTAACTTTAAAGGGTTCTACGGATAGGGCAATCCTACTAAGATACTATATCGAACGAGTAGTAAAAGGGATTAGGACGAAGAGAATATTAAGAGGACAATCTATCGTTAGAGCCTAGTCTTAAAGGCATCCTTAGGTAGTACCTTAATAAGCGTATTATCGCTATAGAGATAGGCAGGTAGAAAGGAGTAGATTTATAGTAAGAAAGAGGTTAAAGGGATCCTTATAGGACTTAACCTATATCGCTAGTATCGTAGAGTAGGGTATATTAAGTTCCGAACGGTCTATAGATCCTACCGAAATTAGAATAAGATCCTACGGAGCGGAGATAAGAAGAAGTAGGAGTAGAGTTTCTAAAGACGGTAGAGGTTAGTACGGTAGAGGTTACTCTCGGAGAGCTATATAGGACAACTATAGGAGGCATTCGGGGAGTACGTAGGTACTAGAAAGTTCCCCTATCACTAGTTTAATATACCGTAGGACGAACGTAGCCGATCTCTAATACTAAGGTCTTATCCCTCTTCTAGAGATAGCTTACGAACGGCGCTAAGGTTAGATAGTAAGATATATACACCTCCCTATTCGCTACTATTATCTCCGTAGAAGCAATAGGGAGCGGGCAGTCCTCCCTCTTCAGATTCTTTAAATACTTCGATAATTAGATTAGGTAGTAGAAGTCTAATACTACTACTACGGAGCCTACTACCTCTACTACCGCCTAGGATAGCGGTACTAGCAGATATATTACATATTAGCAAGTTCTCCGGAGAGAAGGTAGTAGGTAACTTAGAGCGATAGTTTAATATATTCGAGCGCTTCTAAGGCAATACGAGGGTAGACGATCTAGTACGCTAGTATAAGGATTTTAATATACTTATAGAAGGACCGGTAGCTAAATAGGTTAATAATAAGTGCAAGGATTTAGTTAAGAGGCTAGCAGTTAATAATACGACCGAGGAAACTACTAACGAGGTTAAGAAGCGCTTCTTCGCAAAGTAGCTTATAATATCTTTATTAACTACGGACGTAGAGGAAGCGATAGTAGGACTTACTAAGCTCTATTAAGGTAAAGACGAGACGATTAAAGAATACTATTACAGAGCTACTATATTGTTACGTAAAGCAAACTGCCGAGACTAGGAGATAGTTACCGGACTAGAGAAATCACTCCTCGTTATATATATTAAGAACTTTATTAAAGGCATCTTCGATAGCTATTATAAGCTTAGGGCGCATATACTAAAGGATATAGAACAACTAAAGACCTTGTCGGCGGCGTAGATACGTATTAAGAACTGCTAACGAGCTATCGAAGATAAGGAACGAGTTAAGAAGGAATAGCGTAAGCGTAAACGTATTAATACCCTCGAAGAGGTAGCTATCTATATTACTATAGGTAGGCAACTTCCTTATAACTTAGCAGTAAGGGTCCGTAAATACTAACCTAGCTTAGCGGGCAATAATAATAACAATAACGCTACTAACTTAGGTAGGAATAATATTAATAATGTTAACGCGAAGGCAGAGATATATTAACTAGTACTATAGTATCCTTAGTAATAGTACTAACTACCGTAGGGGTTTAATTAAGGGCCTCTATAGTAGCGTTATACTTTACCGACGTATCCGTAGAATTAATAGAACCTACCTTAGCGTCCTCGTACGCTACTAGTATAGACGGGCTAGTAGGGATAATGTAATATTCGGAGCTCCGAGCAATATTAGGGCTAGAGGTAGATATAGTAGACAAGGACGTAGAGGCTTCGGTAGAGGCGGACAATTTAGTTAAACCGAACCTATACTATAGTACTACTTTACCGCCGAGTAATAACTAAGATTAGAATATCTAGGAATTAACATTACGGCCTTAGCTAATCCCTACGTTAATAGATCTAGGATCTATTAATACTTACGAAGATATCCGCTCTATATTAACTACGGAGAGCGATACGATAAAGGCTAACCGAGTTGCGGAGATAATCCTGCCCTAGAGGTATAGGAGTTACGCTTCCTATAGATTCTTTAACGAGAACAGCGTAATAAGTTTACTACTAACAATAGCGGACCTTAGGGCTAGCGGAGACTACTATACAATCCTCGTATACCCCCGCCGCTACTAGGAAACCTACTACCTCCGAATAATTAAGGTTAGTAACTAGGTCTATAATAGTAATAGTAGTAACAGCTACCGCCTAGCAATTAGCAGTACGGCCTATAAGATATACGAGGCTCTAACGTCTATAGTACTAGCATTATTATAGAAGCGTAACCTAATACTATAACCGCAGCAGAGATAATTAATTAGTTAAGGATTAGTTACGCTAAATAGGACACTATAGCAATTAGGAAGGTTACTAAATTAGTCTAAGTTAACGCTACTAGTAGCGAAGGTAAACTAAGTAAGAAGCGCGCTTATTTCGAAGATAGTCCGGCGAGGGGTAATAATAGGATAGATAATAAGAGGGTAAGAATAATTAAGCTATTAAAGGAACGTATATCTAAAGCAGATAAGACGAAGCTAATAAAGCCTATTAATAGCATGTTTAGAGAGCCTTTACTAAGCGTTAAGGAGGCAATTAAGGGCATAGAAATACGACTGCCTATTCTGTAGTTAGTCTAATAGTTACCGTTTTTCCGCAATAAGCTAAAACACTTATTCTCGTAGCTACGCTTCCGTAAGCTATCTAGGAAGAGTAAGAAGCGTACGGAGTAGGATAAAGACGACGACGATAACCGGACGGCGCCGAAGACCGTAGCACTATCGAAGAAGAAGGACTTCAACTTTAAATTTAGCCTATTCGGTAATTAAACATTTAATCCTACCGGATTATAGTAGTAGCTAGAAGATTAGCTAGACGAAGAACTATATATTATAGTCTCTTAGTTATATAAAGTTATTAAGGACACTAACAAGGTATAATAAGAAGTCTAGGAGGTAGCTAAGAAATATATATTAGTAGTAGTCGGCTTAGGTCTAGCAGCGGAGCCTATTATAATATCGGACATTATATAGGTAGACGTTAACCTTATTAGCCTTAATATCTAGGCTAGCATTTAGCGATAGAAGGACCTTACTCGCTGCCCGAAGTATAAGGCATTTACTATTCTAGCAACCGTTTATAACGATCGCAACCGTAAACAGATATAGGTGCTAAGGCATATAGTAGTAGGTAACTAAGGCAGTAACCTTAATATTATCTACCCGTATGTATAGAAGACGCTCGACTTGCTACTTATTCTAGCTTAGAAGCTCGGGTTTAAGCAAATATATATAGTAGTAGCTAATAGCTCTATAGTACTATTACCCTACTAGGTTATCTTTTATATTAACGTTTACGGCATTATAAGAGAAATATAGGCAGTTATATATCCTCGCGAGAAAGGCAATCTCTCTATACTCCTCGGTCTCCTATTTCTTAATAATATACGAGCAATTATTAACGTCTACGCTTAAACGATCCGTATCGGCAATCCGGAGATTAAAGAGACGCAATTAATTAAGGCACTAGTAGTAAGGAGCGACCTACTAAAGATTACTATTAACGTTAAAGACCTACTAGACCCGAGAGACATTAAGGAAGCGAGGGAAGTCGTTAATAGTAGTAACGAGGAGGTATAGGAGGAAGGAGAAGAAGAAGAGGAATATAATAGGGATACGGCAAAGGGAGATTTTAATAGTATAAACAAGGTTAATACTAATAAGTAGGGTCTTCGCTAAGTCCTTAGTAAGACGATAAAAGGCGCGAGCAATTAAGGATTAATAACTATTACGGCAAACGTATATAGAAGACCTCCGGCGGATTAGTAACGCAAGCGAGAATAGTACTTAATACCGATAGAGTCTTAATAATTTATCGAATACCTAGCATTACTAAAGAAGATACCTCTATATACGCCGAATAAATAAAGGAA